TATGCACACAAACTAATAATAATTAGTGATTACAGATTAAAATATTTGTCCAGAGAATATTAACTCTTAATTAATGGAAATGTTCTCAACAACCTGTAGAGATGTGGTCCTTTTGATATCTTTTATCTCCTGTGGCAATTGATTATCGACTCGGAAACCCAGTACTATCGTAGAGTTAGTTGAAACTTTATATTTACAAAAAAGAATATGATAATTTTTAGTCTAGTATTTTTGTTATGAAAATCTCTATTACGTAGAAATTTGCTCTTGTTATATATAAAAAGAAAAAGTATTGAAACATTAAAATTTACAAAAAGATTCTTACAAGAGTAAAATACCATAGAAACCTGCTATTGTCCTGATAATCCTCTTTTGCATTAAATAACATCATGTACCTACCATAGTTGAATTACCTCATAAATATATTCCGTATCTTCTGTATCTGTAAGTTGGGGGAAAGTGGGTTGCTCCTCAGCACTTAAGCCTCATAATGCCCATTGTTCATCCTCCAGGGGCATATAGAACCTGCTTCTCAACTTGTCAAAACCTGCTGGTTGTCGCTGAGAGGTGTCTAGAACCACCCATCTTCTCGGCTCGTCAAAGTCCTGTAGGTTATCAACTTGTCAAAAACCTGCTGGTTGGCGTGGAAGTTTGTTTCAACTGAATTAATAACTGGAACGTAATTGATAATATTTACAAATTTAAAATTATGGTGAAGGTTCCAGAATGCTCCTCCGCCAAACTAGAAATATCTCGTTATATTTGGAATATACTAGAAACATTATCCCGTTCTTTCTCGAATAGTAATCGAAAGCACCTCCGCCATAGTCGTCACATATATTTGGTCTTAAGGGGTTTAATTATGTATGATAATCGGACAAGTTGAGCCTCAAAGGCCAAATAAGACAGAGAGGGACTTAGAGGGTTAGAGCATGACTGAATAATGAAATGGCTCACATTACAATAATATCTGTTTGTTTTGTTTTCCTTGGGATGTAGGTGTTTCTTTTTATTATAAATTAAACTACAAATTTAAAGCTGTCAGTCTCTTTTTTGAACCTTCCTCACTAAGAAACAGTTGGTGAATGGTGCTCATTTAAGCGGAAATTTTATTTGTGATGAAACTATGACAGATAAATTAATTTTAAGAACGCTATGAGATGCAGCACTTATTCTAATTTATATATGTCAAATAATATTTATATAAAATATTGCTACAGAGGCAAAACATTTTATTGCACACAGTGACCTACCCTGGCGAGCAATGATGCGCACGGGTTAGGTAATGGTGCGCAATAAATATTTGTTGTAAAAAAAAATTATTGTTCAACGTTAAGATCAAACCTAGTTACAACTAAAATATACTTAAGTTTAAGGTAAGCAGAAGTGTCTACACCTATACATAGTCTGCACGATTCCAAGAAGAACATAATACACAGCGGTACCATAATTTTCTATTCTTGCCAATCTCTCCACATATCAAACATTTCTCGTAGGTTTGTGGAGTGTTTTTGGAGGAGGTGGCATGGAGCTTAATTCAATATCGACTAACTGGTCATCGTCGTATATGTAGGACAAATCCTCCTCCAATGAGTCGTCAGATGTTTCAGGTGTTGCCTCTCTTTTCATTTGTTGTTTGCCTTTAAGTCTTTTTCTGTCTTGTGTTTCTTCAACAAAACATCTTCTCACACTTTTCTTTTTAAGTGTTTTGTGAGTTTTCTTTTTCTACATGTTTTCTTCTTTTAATCTTTTCTTTTCTTGGGCTATTTATAATTCTTCCAGGACATGTATGCTTGTAATTTAAAACATTGTTTCTTTTGATTTTTCCTTTTAACTCCTTTTTTTGTTGGTATAGGAGTCATGATAAGAAAATAGTTCTCTTTGGATGTACTTGGCTGAGGATTTTCGTAATTATTCAAAGAATTTGGTCCAGTACCAGGCAATGAAACGTTAGCTTTTGGTTCAGTATCAGGTAATAAAACTTTAGCTTTTGTTATGGATAAGATAGGATCATCTTCGTTAGAATCTTTCATTGTGCAATTTAATACTTGATTGAAAGGCGCAAAATCATTGTCATTAAATTTATCTGGGTTTAATGGATAAAAGCCATTGTGGCGACTTTCATAAATGAACTGTTTAATAATTCAGCGACGTCATATTCTATTATTTTTTAGTCAACAGAAGAGGATAAATAAAAATCGTATTCCCTATAGAGAGCGTAAAAAGTTTATATTAATAACCATAAACAAATTTCAAAAATATTCTTAGGATTCTCGGGCCGCTACAATCCTGCTTCTTCGTACTGTAATTCGTAATTTCTACTGCCGTTCGGCCACCCTACTGTAAGTACTGATTAATATCGCTTTTCTCTTTCTGTTTAAACATAATTTGCTTTTATATATTCTATGATGCATTTCAATAATTTGATTACCCAATATTTATTACTTGGACTACATTTGCGGCTATTTAATAAAATGTAATTTTATTCTTTTTTTTTTGTCCAACCCTATTTCCTGTTACGACTTGATAGATATTTATTTAATTACTTAACAAATTGTAAAATGTTTGTAGCAAGTCAAAATGAAAACAAATATTAGATAGATACCTACCTAAAATACGAACATTATACCTTCATATGTATCTAGTTAGATTTTATATAAATATGTAAAATACATTTTTTTTTTGAACTCATTATTATCTAAACTTTTATAATGATCTGGTAAATAATTATAGAGATTTAGGTTTAGATAATTTTTCACTTACTTTATATATTTGTACTGCAGGTTCCTGCCTGAGCATTCCTAGTAGGATATTCGTAGACATTTAAATTTTTATTTAAGTTTGATTTAAAATCATGTATGGATAATAACTGATAATAAATGTATTGTGCAGGTAATGGCATAATTCCAAGTATTAAAAATAACGGTTTGCTATGGTTGAGAAAGCCTACACTAGAGATGATTCTAATATCTTGATTTTGTAGTGTAAATACTCTTATATAATCCTTGGAATGTTCCCAAATGACTACCTACCGAGACAGCACAAATAAGTCCATTGGACGTCCAGTTGATATACAATTTTGAATGTCTGAACGTCCATAAATTAGTTTCTTCTGGATTTCCGTCCAGTGAGGTATACAAATGGCACAAATTTTCCTAATTTAAGAAACGATCTAAAACAGGTAAACTGGAACGTGATTAATAAAATTCCAAAACGGTAAGAAAATAAAAATCCTGGAAAACCAAACCCTACTAAAATTAATGACAAAAAAGGTAAAATTATTGTCTAGAACAAATTCTTGTCAAAAGGCACAAAACAAGAATTCGCAGAACGTTTAATAGATAAAAATAAAAACTCCTCACAAGATATGTAGACTTCTGTTAATCACTTAACAGACATAATGAAATAATTACAGATAAAAGTGCTATAATTAACGAATTTAACAATTTTCTCAGTGATTTAGGAGACACATAAAACACCGGAAAAATTCACGCAAAATAGCCCACTTAGAAAACATCTTTTGTCTATATTATCCTACCCATGAAACCGAGGTTGAAGATTTAATAAAATCTCTCGACAACAAAAAATTTCCATGAAATGAGGGCATTCGATCGGAAACCCTAAAAGGTGTATCGGACATTATTAGTAAACCATTATCAGATTTAATTAATATGTTTTGAAAAATCCCATTATCCTAAATGTTTAAAAGTCGCTTTTATCAAGTCAGGATCTAAATTGGAACTAGGAAACTATCGACCCATAATACTCATATCTACCTCATCAAAAATTATAGAAAACATTTTAAAAACTAGAATTGTTCAATATTTTCCAGATTATTTCAAAAAATCATTGTAAATACACTGAAGATATTATGTCCTATAACAAACTCCATCTGTATCAAAAACTACATCATTCAGTGACATAGCCACGGGAAGGGAGTTTTGGGGGAGGAGCCCTCTTTTGCTACTGGATTTTTAGTGCCTTTACTACTGAGAGATTAAGTATGAACAGAATATGTGGGTAGAGAAGATAAGGAAAATAAAATTAAACAATTCTCAACTGTGAGCTGATGACACAATTTCTGAATCTGGTTATAACAGGAGTTTTTTCGAAATGCGAATGATGGATTGATATGAAGATTTGACTATTGTTGTCTGAATGGAATTCTATTTCTTATTTCACATTTCACCACAGCTATGCTATGATTGTTCTTTTCTATGTCATGGAATATGGATCAGGTATGGATGTAGTATGAGCATGAGGATGTTTCGTAAAAATAATCGAAATGAATATTAATTATAAACATTATTCTTACTTATCTGATAACTTCTTGTGGAAACATGAATATTCGGTTGAGGGGAAACATATTAAGACGGTATTACACTGGGCCTTTATTCTACTGTTTTCCAAAAGGATCGAATTTATTTTCTTTAAAATGACTTGAACACATTTTTTCGTCGTTAAATGATCTCTCTATGGCTATTAACGAATATTTCCTAAACTCTTTGGGTATGGTTTAAAAAAAATCATCAAAATTATTTTATTTATTAACATGTGAAAACCGAGGTGAAAACATGATGCATTTTTATATTCAGGTACAAAACAAAACATCGGATACTTTCCAAACGGACCTCGTACATTCATTGTGACAAATACTTTGTAGCATTGAAATTGATGCAAATAGATTTGAAATTAATTAGACCTTAAATGATAAACGAATATTAATGAATGCATTTAACGCCCACAACAAATGTAATATTCAATGTCTATTGTTATTTTGACTTGTGGTCTATTAGAATTTTCTCTTTACAGAATACTTAAAAGAATAATTTGAATATGGTCGTGTTTCGTCGTACGCAATCGAGCACGAGTGCGTGAGTGGGATAGTTCGAGAGCACATTGCTTCTTCAACTGTCAATAGGCTGTTAAAAATAATTTTGAAGAAATAAAAAGGGGAAGTTATATGGTGGAGATACATTTACCTTAACCCCGTCTTCAATATGTCGGGTGATGTTCAGCCCAGGAAAAGGAAAGACAAGAAGAAGAAAAAAGGTATTTTTTTGGATATTTCGTTTATTTTTAGTATGCATGCCGTGTGTGCGCCGAAAATCTATTTTTACTACGAGAGTTAATTATGTAAAATAATTTTTACTTCATCGTAATAGAATTATATACATATTTTATAGATATATTTAAGACCGTTTAAACAAAAATGAATTATTTTATTAATATTTATTCCCTAACTAACGCCAATTTTACAAGTTTACCTATATTGCCACGGTGGATATTATAACAGCAAAAAATATTTAGAAAAATCTTATTTTCGTAGGTATAATAGGGATATTGGTCTATCATGTAAAAATATATTCAACTCTACAGGACGTCCCAAAAATTATGATCGGTCACTTGGCTTTGTTTTCAAATTGAAAACCCTATATATTTTTAATATTAGTATATTATGGTGACAAACAGAATTACTTCCGGGCGGTGCTCTCAATTAAATCCAAAATTTAACTAAGAATAATGTGTCACCTAATACTTCTAAAAATATTAAAACATACAGGACCCTGTATATTTTGTCGATTTTTAATAAAAAAATATATTTCACTCATCTCTGCTCTTCCGAACTTTCCTCAATTATACGCCGCATGCAGAAGACAATAAAATAATATTCTGATAATAAAATGCTGTTTTCTTGTAGATGATGCAGACCCAATAATTCCTGAGAAGTTACAGGTCCCAATTTTCACCAATAATACTCTGATTACTGAAGATCTAAATATTCATGTTCACAAAGAAGGAGGTACAGGTGGCGGAATATGCGCTAAACTTGTTTTCTTTATTCTATTTTCTGCGCTAGCCGTTCTGATCGGACTGACAATAACCGAACACAGAGGCCTCACTGATAGTAAGTATTATATTAAATCAGAGAGAATTCGAATTTTTGGTGTAACAATCTATTTTAGTTGAAACCTCCGATCCGAACTCCAAATTCTCCCAGTTGTTTGAAGGTTGGATTGATTCGAATACTCACGATGACCATGATATAGAAGAGCACGGATCAATCGAAGAAGATGATCACGAAGACCAAGAAGACGACCACGATGAAAATTTATCTGAAGAATTGGAAGATCATCAACAACATGACGAAGATGACGACGAGCATGATGATAATCAAACCGATGATAATTTAGATGATGAATCCGAGGAAAATGATGATGAAGGTGATGCTGCTGGTGACGATGACATAAATGAAATAGCTGATGAAGAGGACGAAGAAAATCATAGAAAACGTTATTACAGAAAAGTAGCTGTTTCTGAAGAAGAACCAGATGAACCAGATCAAGATGAAGATGATGCAGACCGTGATCAAGATGATGATGATGAGCTAGATGATAATGATGACCAAATTGATCAAGATGAGGATGAGCAAAATCAAGATGAAGATAATCAAGATGAAGATGATCAAGATGACGATGAAGACAAAGATGAAGATCTACAAGTTAGTAGAGAAAAGAGAGATATCTCTGAAGAAAAGTTCGATGTGCACCAAGATGATGACGATGAATATAATGAAGCAGGGGATGATATAAAAGATGACGATGGTGATAATGATGCAGATGATGATACTCAAGATATCGATGATGATAATGACACAAATGAGGCTAAAGATGAAGATGATGGCAGTAAGGAAGAACTAGTAAAGTCAGATGAGATTAAAGATGATCAAGAAGTAAAAGAAAAGGAGGTAATTTAAAAAATTTAGGTATTATTTATTTTGGTAAAAAATATTAAAAATACATACACAGTTATGGATTTGATTCTATGTTTTAGGCTGAAGATACCGAGGATAAACTGGAAAAGGCTGAAAATTTACCTGAAATCGAACCAGATGAGGATGCAGTAGGAAGTTCAGGCAGTAAGTAAAATGCATATCTTTATTTAATTGTACAATCTCCTTTAAACAATTTATTAGTTTAACTATTCCTACACACTATACAGTGTACGCCTACAATAAGTTAACCCTTTCTCATTTAGTAAATGTACGATATTATAGGGTACATTTGGTACAAGTGGTGACTACTTTCCGAAACAAATTTAAATAGTAGAATTTTTTTCTTGTTACTGAATTAATTATTTAATGATCTTGATTTTGTTTAACTATTAGGGGAGATAGAGTTAGGAATTTAATATTGCAATTTCCGATTATTCCAGGCACGAACCGATTGCATAAAATATGGCAAGCAAAAATGTATATAACAAAAGCATTAAGTACAAAGAATATTCAATATCCTATACATTGAAGCTTGCGAAAATAATTTACCTATCTAATTATTGAATATAGAAAATACATTCTGAGAACAAGCGAATTTTATTTTTCTCCTGTAGGTACTTCTTCTCACTTGTTCTAAAAATGTTTAATATCTTGTATCTCATGTTAATAGGAACTGTTTGAAATATTTTTAGATGTGTTTTTTCAAATATCCTTTATATCTAAACAAAAATTAATACATAAATGCCAAAAGATAGACACAAGACTCTATTATTTTATATTTTAATTTGTTTTTAAATGTTGTAAATCAGGAAATGCAATTTATACAGCTACCTAATCTATTTTATAGTGGCTGTGAAAATTGGTGTTGGAGTAGCACTTCTTGTGGTTGCTCATCTTGTCTTGGTTAAGAAATGGAGGACTGGTTAGTAAAGTGCATGTCAGTGAATCTATTTGTTTTAATTATTATAACAGATAACCCAAACAACATTATTAGGAATCTATGTACTGGTGTCAATTTTTATCATCTAACAACGTTTTTAGCAAAACCCTATAAAATAAGTAACCTACATAACTGTCAATGTCTTCTAATTGATATTAATTTAACTCCTTCGAGACCAAATATTTAGCCAGTTCCAATCTCCATGAATCAAAGAAACTTAAATACTGTAAATATCAAGCTTGATAACATCTATTATCTCTAAATTATTTTATTTACTCGTATAATGCTAACTTTAGAGTAAATTATTAAAATTTCAATGTTTTCTAATCCAGTACAGTGTCCAACACTTTTATCATTTAAAGTTTTATTAAAAAAAAATAGTAGAAGCCAGAATGCAAAATCTGAAAATTCTAATGGTTAGACTGAACTGTATGTTTTAATTTAGAAGTTTAAAATTTGAATATATATATATATATTATAGTTGGTATATTGTTGCTTGGGTGTCCAATATCTTAGGCCTGTATTAGCTTCATTCTTCCACTGCATTTGCGCCACTAACATCATTGCATTTCCTGGTAGATTTTGCTTTTTTTTCTGTAAGTTTATACTTTTGTGTTTTATATTATTAACTATTTTATAGCTAAGGATTAATCTCCAGAATTACATCAGCTATTGCTACTGCTATTTTCTAAATAAATTCTGTCACCTATTGTGTTTTAAAAATTGCTTAATTTACGCTTATTATAAAAACATTATAAAAACTTGTTGATAATTTTCAAGCATCTGACGATGAGGATAAATCAACTGACATACCTTCAGTTCCAAATCTTCAAGACAGAAGAAACACTATTATCAATCCTCCAGCTTTTAAAGAAGTGGAACCTGATATTGAACAAGTTCAAGAAGGTACTTGTATAAACGTAAATTGAAAGCTAAATCAATTTTTTTATTTATCTCAACAACAAGACTTGTCTCTACAGAATTCTTATTTGTTGCAATAAGTAATTTAATATTCGAGATCTCCCTCCTTTGTCAATTATATTATCATGTTTTAGACTCGATTCGTTTTATATTTTTCCGTAATTTCGTAATTTTTAATTCATTACAAATCTTTTGTTAGATTTTATATCAAACTCTTTTAATGTTTTAAAACTTAAATAGTTATTCTATTTTTAAATTACCCCTCATGTAAAATATATGTAGGCCCGCTATTAAAGCTCGGTTTGGAAAATGGAAGATTTCATCATTCTTATTAAGACCCGAGTAATAAATATACAATGATTTGTCAATTAGACTATTCTGAAGAAGAGGATGAGGAGGAAGACGAAAAGGTAGTTACGAACATAGCAAAAACCAAATATCAAGAACTTGCTACGGCATACACTACTCGTCCCACTACCGATACAAGTAGGCCAACGAAAATGTACGAATATGAAGACGACGATGAAGAAATTGAAGATGAAAACGAACAGGAAGACGAAGAATTGGAAGAAGAGGAAGAAGACGAACAGGGGGAATCAGAAGAAGGCGAAGGGGAGGATTGTGATGAGGAAGGAGACGAGGAAGATGAGGATGAAGAATTGCTGAAACGTTTGGAAGCCCGATATGGAAGACTGCAAAAAGATAATGGTAAAGGGTAAAGGCACTTTTGCAATTTTTTCAAATTTATGATTTGATTTCGTGTTCTCAGAATGTATTTTGTTAGATTTATTGATTTGAAGGAACGCCGAAAAATATTTTATTGTATTTTTTAGAAAATAAGGCCGCGGAACATAGAGAATCCGATTCTGATAAGCAATCAGATGACGATTATGATTATACCAATGTAACCAACGAAGATGACTACAAAATTAGAAAAGACATTGATGAAGCTCAGAGTTCTATAAAAAATGTAAGAATCTTTATTTTTTTGATTTGGAAATTGCTTTACTGTTTAATAAACTGGCATTTTCGATATCGCTGGAAATAAATGATTAATAATGTCCATCTTATTATATGATTATACACAAGGGTGGGTAACTTACTACAAAGGTCGTAATACTACACTAAACAGGTCCGTCATTCACAGGCTAATGCAAGGACAAAACCCAATGAGCTAACTACATAGCGTTGACCATACAAGGCTATACCAGCAAGTAAAAAATGATAAAATTCTAGGAATGCCTACTGATATAGCCATAACCACACACAAATTTGATATAAATTTTCAAATCCAAATAGCAGACCGGGACATCCCATAGAGGCTTGAATTAGTTTGGTATACATATGGTTCAAAGACCAATGAAGGAGACAGTGTTGAAATCTTTGGAGTCAAAAACAATGATTTCTAGGAGAATATGCAAAACTGTATTCCATGCCGAACCATACAACACTGCAAGGATATAATAAATCAGCAAGTATCAGCAAAACTTTCTATATTCTCTCACCAGAATCTAATCACGACTGGTGAAAAACTGCCCTGAAGACCTAACAGAGTTAAGTAGTCAAAACAAAGTGACTTTAAACCAAGAATGAAATCAGGGCAATGAAAAGCCCGAGTAGGCTCAAATAAGGCCATGACTGGCCCCAAATTTTTCTGTGGAGTTGCTAAGGCATTATACAAAACATCCATCAAACAATTGATGCAAAAGAGTCTCAGGAATGATGGAAAAATTATCCAGGATTGAGACAGGTCAAATAAAATAAGGAACCGTTGGCCAATTTTATGATAGATCTACTGGACCAAAAACGACAAATTATTAGGATCACAGTAGGTCTTCTTACCGGACACTTTCGTCTAAGTAGAAGAAGCCACATTGTGCAGGTCGTTCTGTGAAGAAGACGAGGAAGTGTGAACGGCTGATTAGATTGAGGTTTCTAACACTAGGCGAAAAAAAAGACAAGAGCTTGTAACTAAATGTGGGAGCCACTGTCAAAGCTACTAAGACAAATAAAAGAGATTTGGACCCCTATTCACTAACTGTGAGAGTAGTAGTGTGGCAGTACTCTCTCTAATTTGGCCTTACTGCGCATGTCACTCGCCTAAAATTATAAGGTATCATGTGAGTAATAAAGTGATGGAGCAGTCGTGTAAGGGTCACTCTCGCGAGTTAGTGTTAGACGACATAAATAACAGAGTTACTCCTTTCAGATCTATCTATCTAATGTTATCTTGTGAACTCTCGTAATACTTCTTCTTATTTCGTTAACCATGTTTCTAATTTATTTATTACGAACGTAGTATCCTATTTGAAGGATTTACGAACCATAAACACCGTCTATAAGGTCCAAATTATCATGATGGTCGCCAACATCATGAGAGAATTGTTACATAAGAAGATATATAATCGATCTCTCATTTTCTTTGTAGATAATCATAATCAGACATTATTATATTTATTCCCAGAAAATGGTAAATGCTAGTTTTAAACAAAACATTTATTTTACCTAATTATTATATCTTCCTTAGGAATAAAACAATAAACAAATCCGAGATCCCACAAATTCCGCATTTTTAACAGTTTTATTTTAGCGACTTATATCCACTTGTTTTGGGAATGTTTTGTGTTTTCATTAGTTTTGTCTAATTTGGTACAATATTCCATGCAAATATTTTGTTATTTAATTCAATAATCTTTATTGCGATTTTGTAATTATGTATTACTAATTTTTATCAAAATATCCCGCACATACTTTGATGAAAATTATTATTATTTACTAACACGGTTTGTTGTTTATATTAACCAATGTTTTTCTATTTGTCTTTTTTTTACATGTATTTAACCAGAATAATGCTCTCGCTATTGCACTTTTTGATAAAATCCTGCAAAAATTCCCGTCCTCTCCCCGATCTCTTTATGGAAAGGCATTAGCACTGGACGACCTTGCTGACAAAAAAAGAAGCAATGAAATACTGGAGAAAGCTCTGCAGTTATATGAAAAAGTCCTCAAGGCCGATAAAGTTCCAACTGCTCTCTTCAACCTTGTAGCCGACAGATGTATAAACCGTTTAAGATTTTTAGGTAATCTAAATTATTTTTTATTAAAACTATTAAAAGTGTTCAATGTGGATCGCTTTTGCTTATTCTCCAATGTTCAATGTACGAGGATATATTGGAAAATTCCTAGAAAATACTATTTGGTTAAAGTTGAATTCATTTTTCTACATAACTTTAGTTTTATCCATTTAGTTCAAGGATTTTCAAGACCTTGCAACCATTCAAAATAAAAAAAAGACTACCACCCAAAGGTGTTGTCACCCAAAATTGTTTAAAACTGCTGAAATATAATTTTGATACTGAAACACGCCCTATAAATATCTTACCAATTATGTCTAAAATAGTTGAGAATTTTAAGTACAGATGGGTAATTTGTTTACACTTTAGGTCAGTATAGGAGAGCTATAAATTTCCACCAGTTAATCATAGACAAATTTCCAAAGAATCCGAAGCATTTAAATAGTTTAGGGGTAACATATTTGACGATGAACAGGTCAGTAAGTCATAAATTATAGTTACTGTAATGTAATTCTTGACATTATTGTAGGGTAGAAGACGCAAGATCTGTTTTCAAGCAGGTTCTCACCAAATGGCCTGAGGATGGCTTTTCTTTAGTGCACTACGGCTTTATATTAAAAACCGCTGACAATAAGTTCGAAAAAGCTATACATTATTTAGAAAAGGGGATTAATACTAAAGACGAAGGTGTGATAGATGGAAGATTTTATTTCCATTTGGGCGATGCCCTAGCCCGTGTTGGCAGAAATAGCGATGCTATAAAGGTATTTAACAGCAATATTAACAATTTGTAACTATAGTGTCAAATAATATTTCAGATCTACGAAGAAGGTACAAAAAACAAAGTATTTCTTTCGAAATATCAAAGATCGTTGTACAACGTTCCACGCTTGACCGCCAATCCTTGGTGGTCACCGAAAGACCTTCCGTATCCAAACTCTTTCCAGCTCCTCACCGACTCGTGGAGGAAAATTAAAGAAGAAGGCCTGGCGATTTTGAGCGAAACTGGCTTCTTTCAAGACGAATCCGAAAACTTGAAGGACACCGGTGAATGGAAGCAGTTCGAATTGTTCGCTAGAGGACAAAAAAACGTAAAAAATTGCAAGAAATGTCCGTTTACTTGCAGCGTCATTGATCGTATACCGGAAGCTAAAACCTGTCGAAGAGGTCAAACGAAATTTAGCGTCATGCATCCCGGTACTCATGTCTGGCCACATTGTGGCCCGACGAATTGCAGAATTAGGGTCCATTTGGGGTTAAAAGTACCGCCTAGTACCTTTATCAGAGTTGCAGAGGATACAAAGTAAGTTTTATTATATATACATCTTCGTCTTAGACACATCTAGATACATCCGAAAACCATAACTCTAGTTCTGAGAATGATACTCCTGAGGTCGATTCTGAGAGTGATCTTAATTGTATATAATAATGTATATAATGATTTGCAATCGTACAATATTATTTAACAAAGTTTAATATATGTTTTACGAATAGTTTAAGGGCGCAGTTGCATGCATAAAAAAACTCTTGTGTCAGTTTAAAGGGAACGGTTCAAAGAATAAACTCTCCTAATTTTTATTTGCCGTTTCTTTACCAATTAAAAAAATAAACTTAAAAAATGGTTTCTATAACGAGGTTAAAAAAAGGGCGACTTCATTCTAATATTTTTCTGAGTATCCCCTTGAAATATTTTCAATTTTAGTAACTAGTTTTTAATTCTAATAGGAATTACGTTATAAAAATACCTGACTATGGGGTCTATTCTGTAACAATTCCTTTATATTTAACAGCCTTTAAAAATATTGGCGGCTTCTAAAAATATGTTCGTATTCGTTAATTTACTTCTGTCATTACTTAAACAGATTTCTTTAAGATAGTCCTCTAATGTATTTTAAAGATCCGTTTAAATAATGACAGAAGTAAAGAAGAAAATATTTTTAAAGGCCGTTAAATATAAAGGAATTGTTACAGAATAGACCCCTATAAGTGTTATTATTTATTACAAGTAACTTCATATAGGTACAAACAGTCACAACTATTCGTGTGTTAAAGCACCTTTTGATATTTATAGAATGGCTGATATGCTTATTTATTCCTAAGGGTTGTTAAACTTATTTTATACACTTTCACTCGAAATTCCCGTAACATAAAAGATGAATCACTGACTACATTTTTAGAATTCAACAATAAGTACCTATTATTATAGAGAATATCAGTCTGTCAGTGTCCCACAAGGGTCCCACGTGAGCCAACTGTTGATTGGCTTATCTATTAATGACTTGAAACAATATGTAAGTTTTTCAGGAGTTGGAAGGACGGCGAACTGTTAATCTTCGACGACAGCTTCGAACACGAGGTGTGGCACAATGGTACCGAATTCCGATTGATTTTAATAGTAGACGTTTGGCATCCAGAATTAACACCGTCCGAAAGACACAATCTTTCGCCAATATAATGTTTGTGTTTTAATACTTACGTTTGTTATATATATTATACATTAGGTACATTTATAGATCTGACTGTGTTAATGAGTAGTTTTAAGATTATTAATTGTATTGTTTTAATATCCAAACCTTTTCCATCGACTTAAAAAAAAACATACAGGATACGTAAGATAATCTTTTATTTTAAAATAATTCTATAAGTATACACAGGTACAAAGAGACGAAATAAAATCACTTCACAATACAATGTAAGTAAATTGTTCGTTACTTGTCAATTTTTAACAAGATTTATAAAACCTAAAAAACATCTTCGGTGTGACAAGTAACTAACGCTTCAATCTAAAACTTGTAACGGTTACTCTTCTAGTACCGTTATTTTTAATATTTTATAACTATATTTTTAAAATGATTGTCCCATCTCTATTAGGACCGTTAGTTTCATTCTGTCGCTACAAATATTTTATATAGTTATTTTTGGTTTTATAAGTTGTATGTTCGGATCGAAAGTGAATTTCGACAGGTATTACTGGTAAAAGCCTTTTACATCAATACTTCAGAACGAGGCAGTCGAGATTATTAAATCTGCTAATATTTAATTAATCTTAAACAGTATGTGGTATTTTTATTAGTGGTGAGAACCATCAGTATTTTATGGTGAGTAAAAGATTAATATTTACAAGATTTCTGCAAAGATTAACGAAATGGATCGGGATGTATTTAGTTGTTAAAAATTTGAGGTTAGATGTATTAGAACATGTATTAATTTCTGTAAAGATCTATTTTTTATTCATTCTGTGTTCAGAAACATCTTACCTCCTTATTCCTTATTTTTCCTTATTACGTAAACTTCAAAAAGGTCTCAATCTTTTAGATAAGTCAACCTTTGGATGGTTTTTAAACATACGCTGAGAAAATAGTTGAATTTATGGTTAGAAGACAGTTGAAGATGGTTACAAATATGTTAATTTATGGTTAGAAGATAGTTGAATTTATGGTTACAAACATGTTAATTTATGGTTAGAAGAAAACGCATCGCTGTAGGAGACCGTCCTTATTTGAGAAAGATTGAAGACCTCTAACACCATTCCTACTCTGAGATAAGTTTCATTTTTTATCAATGAAAATTAAATAAAGAAGTAATTTAAATGAATATGGGCTTGTGTAGATTGTAATTGTTACTTGCCTGCATAAACATATACATTCTTGTTTTAACATCAGTCATATTAATTATATTTGCCAAAATATTATAATTCACCTTAAATGATATGTTTATGTAAGTTTGATGGCGCCCTCCTTACCTTTCCTATAGTTAAGTTTTGTGTTGGGCGCCAATTTGTAACATGTTATGTTGGTTTTACTTACCGTGTTTTAGCTCAATTTTAATTAGGGCCGTGAGTAGCACTTAATAACCTTGACAAAACTTAACTATAGGAAAGGTAAGGAGGGCGCCACCAAACTTACATAAACATATCATTTAAGGTGAATTATAATAGTTTGGCAAATATAATTAATATGACTGATGTTAAAACAAGAATGTATATGTTTATGCAGGCAAGTAACAATTACAATCTACACAAGCCCTGATTCATTTAAATTACTTCTTTATTTAATTTTCATTGATAAAAAATGAAACTTATCTCAGAGTAGGAATGGTGTTAGGTCTTCAATCTTTCTCAAATAAGGTCGGTCTCCTACAGCGATGCGTTTTCTTCTAACCATAAATTAACATGTTTGTAACCATAAATTCAACTATCTTCTAACCATAAATTAACATATTTGTAACCAACCATCTTCAACTGTCTTCTAACCATAAATTCAACTATTTTCTCAGCGTATGTTAAAAAACCATCCAAAGGTTGACTTATCTAAAAGATTGAGACCTTTTTGAACGTAATAAGGAAAAATAAGGAATAAGGAGGTAAGATGTTTCTGAACACAGAATGAATAAAAAATAATCTTTACAGAAATTAATGACACGTTCTAAAACATCTAACCTCACATTTTTAACAACTAAATAAATCCCGATCCATTTCGTTAATCTTTGCAGAAATCTTGTAAATATTAATCTTTTACTCACCATGAAATACTGATGGTTCTCACCACTAATAAAAATACCACATACTGTTTAAGATTAATTAAATATTAGCAGATTTAATAATCTCGACTGCCTCGTTCTGAAGTATTGATGTAAAAGGCTTTTACCAGTAATACCTGTCGAAATTCACTTTCGATCCGAACATACAACTTATAAAACCAAAAATAACTATATAAAATATTTGTAGCGACAGAATAAAACTAACGGTCCTAATAGAGATGGGACAATCATTTTAAAAATATAGTTATAAAATATTAAAAATAACGGTACTAGAAGAGTAACCGTTACAAACTAATGAATCGTGAAAAATTTTAACACACTATAAATAAATGTCTGAAGTTTACACACACAAAAAATGCACTCAGTGTTTTACATCCAATTCTATTTTTACACTGTAAAAAATATAAAAAAATATACCGTAGATACCTATATACATTAATAAATGAAACTGTTCAACTTCGTGTAAAAAGAGAACTAAATGTGTTCTATAGTGTTGTAAAAATGATCTCAGTTCATCAAGAGCAAAAAATATGAAGCTATTTCTTTTTAACAGTAAGGTATAAAAAATCAAAATAATATGATAAAATATCCCTGAAATAATGCTCATAAATTAATAGACAATTTTTACATAAAATTTATGTTATAGACCAAGTGATTATTTAGGACAATATCTATACTGCTCTGGTTATTATGATAGGAACGGGCCATTTAATAAATTATTTATGTATGCAAATTGTTCATAATTAATAAAGATTTAATCCCTGATGTTTAAAAAAGAGGAACAGTCATAGTAAAACTTTCATTCCCACAATGTTTGAAATTAATTGCTATACTATTAATTAAACAAGATATATTTACATTAATCACTTGTAATTCATAACATATATGGGATGATCATTTAAAAAGGTGTCAAAATTTAATGGTTTTCATCAATAATGTCGTTCTTAAGAATAATAAGAAATTTTTCTAACAAAGATTTTAGTATTGCAGTTATGCTTGTTCTAATATAAATTGAATAAATGTATTTTTAAATAAAGTTACAGGGTTCGTTAAAACTTTTTCCTGCTGCAATGTTAAATAATATAAAGAAGAATACAAAATAAATATCAATTCAAGTATTTAGTGTACATTAGAAAAACCGAGTGATGATTTTTCTGAGGCTTAGAAACAACTCAGTAATTTACTAAACGATTGGGCATTTTTATCAATGCTTAACTTTTTCGCATTTCAGAGTATTCTATTATAAAAACCAGTAGCGTGGTTGGTTGATATAATATAGTTATAATAGTGATTTGTAGTCATTTTATCTTTTGTGTGGTTTTTAGATAATACCTATAAAATTTGTTTTGAACATTATTTTAAAGTTGACAGTAAATAATATGTATTAGCAATGGTATGTTGGAGGCTCTGGAAGAGTGAAAATAAAGGCGAGAAAAGTAAGATATTTTTGATTGAATAGATCAATTATTTTCTTATTATCTTTTTCAGCGTGTATTTTAAAGTGCGCTCAGTCTTTGTCTCATTTGGTAATTATTAAGAACAGTCCAATTCATTTTAATTTTTCGTTATTAACTTTATTCGATTTTCCATCATTTTCTTTCAATAACAAACATGGAAACACATACAATGATTAGATTATTTTATAACGGAGATCATATTCAATTTATATTAGATAATGTAGCCACAATTGTGAAATATTTATAGTTACTTTTAATGACAATTATATGAGGGGGATTGAAATTTAAATATTTCTTTTGCTACTATTTTTATCTGCAAGTCGTTGGTAACAATTTAACACCCCGCAATTTTTGACGAACTTTTCAATGATGCTTCGCAAGTGCACTAGGTTGCCCCCTTCATATTACAGAAATAATTTTGGGTAATTTTTAACGCCTTTTTTGTTCTAAAGATGGTAAGTTTCTTAGATTGTCGTCCCATCAATCTTTGAAACGATAAAAAGAATTAACATATAAAACGACAATGGCCACTCGGTAATTGTATGACAGTGTAGTCCTACCAAAACTACCTAAATTAAGTAACTTGAAAAGTACAAGAATATCATTTGCTACGGTCACTATAAATAAATATAACAGACTTATTTTGGCCCTCTACAAGAGAAGACACACTTGATTAAATAATTTAAGATCTACTTCCGTTCACATCCTTGTTTAAATCAAACTATAAAAGACAATAATTCACATTGTGTGACATAATAACGACGAGGCAAAAATGACAACACCACAGTGGATAAAATATTGCGAACCTGACACTAAAAATTTTGTTGATACTAAATTATTAAGGTCATGCCAAAATGCCAGGTAGGCCAAAATCGGCTACGACAGAAAAGAGTCCTGAAAGTCCATAAAATTGTATCTAGTGATCGTCAATTGAAATATTTTGTTTTTTCTCTCTTAGACTGGAAATTATTTATCCCATCCTCGTACATTGATTTAAATGTTCATCAATGTGTCAACTATAAACTTGCATGCAGTATTAATAAGTTATAGTACGCACAGAAAATAGGAAAATTGATATATCCCTCCCTGTATCAAATTTTTATAGCCACACGATTTAAAAATGATATGAACATCATATATTTGATTGCTGGTTCTTAAATAATAGTATTTACCTACTTATTTGAACAAAAAATAAAACTTAAAATTATAGATGGCATATTTTCTCTATTATTAATATTAAAATATTTCAACTTTCTTTTAAATATTAATCCTAATATGATACATACTTAATGTGAGATTAATTCTTGAATTTCTTCAGCTATTGCTGAGAATAGAGGTCTTTTATGTGGATTCGTTTCCCAACAGGGATGAATAATCCTGACATACACAGCCCTGGGACATTTCGGGGGACAAGGGAACCTTGCTCCACCCTCTAGTGCGGTGAGCAAAGCTTGTTGCTGGGGCACGCCCTCGTCGATTTTTTCGGTTACATTGGCCAGTACAGGTTCTTCTCCGTAATTGAACATTTCGCACATCGTCACCCCATACGACCACACATCTGATCTAACAGAGAATTTTCCATCTCTTAAACTTTCAGGAGCGAACCACTTTATAGGCAATTCTCTATTCGGAGTCTTCATGTAATAATAATCATCTGTACTCATAACTTGGGCCAACCCGAAATCAGATATCTTAACGTGATTTTCATCAACAACTAATATATTTCTAGCAGCTAAGTCTCTGTGTACTATCTTCTCCTTACCCAGATAATCCATGCCCTTAGCTATATCCAGGGCATAGTTTAGTAACTGCGCTTCTTGAAGACTCTCCCTATTGATTTTTAAATAGCTCTGGAGCGAGCCGTGAGGCACAAACTCCATTACCAATAATATTTCACTTTCTCTTTGAACACCGATAATTTTAACTATATTAGGATGTTCTAATGATTTCATAATATTAATTTCTCGTTCAAAGTCTTGCAAGCAAGTAGATTCAGCAAAGGTTTTTAGTTTTTTTACAGCAACCCTTTTTGGTTCCTCCTCTAGACCGTCGACAGATTCTAGCGTTCCTTTAAAAACCTCCCCATAGAAACCCTGACCGATTCTGCCTTGCAAAACTACATTATAATTATCATCTAATTCAAAAACACTTTGCATTGAATTCAAGCTGTCTAATGAGGTAGTAGCAGTAGTAGTTGAAATGATATTAGTCCAATCATAAGAATCGTCAAAGTTGTGTATAAAATTGGGATCTCTAAGAGAAGGACTTCCTGAAATGCTAGGTTTATCAGAACATTCACTAGCTAAATCACTATCATCAGGATAAGGTACATTTGTACACTCTGTCTGGTTCGAGTTTAGACTGATACTTGAAGCACCGAGTACATTTTGTAAAGCAATTTTACTGAACACTTTTGCATAAGTGTGTGTCCGTCTCGAATTATATACCTCATATAAGATCTGATTGATATCTCGCAAAATTGCTTGGGGCTTCTTCCTTTTGTGGGGGTCTTTATCCCAACATTCTTTCAATAGAATGTACATTTCATTCGAGCAGCTGCTGGGTTGGGGCAGCCGTTCGCCGCTTTGGTATGACCTCATGGCCTGCAGATGATCGATTGGCTTTATTTCTTCTCCATACATGTAGATTTCCCATATAGTAGTGCCGAAGGACCATACGTCTGCTTCAGTAGACATTTTTGCTAGATCTAATTTGGTGTAGCACTCTACTGGGATCCAATGTACTTCTGATGATGCATATTCCGTATGAATTCCAGGATCTGTTAGTTTTACTGTGAAAGAATTATCATCATGAGAGGCTACCATTAGTTTTCTGCATCTGATATTGCCATGAATGATTCTGTTTTCTGTTAAGTGCCACAGAGCTGATGCTAAGTTGCTTGCAGCTTCGATTAGATCGACGGGTTTTAGATTTTGTTTGTTTTTTCGTAAATATAAATCAAGAGCTCCTAATTGATAGTACTCCAATACAAGTGAAATGTTACTAGTAAATGCTATTCCAAATAATCTAACTATTGCGCTGGATTGAAGAAATGCCCACTGTCCTGCTAATGATAAGAAATCTTTCAGGTATTTATCAGCATAATCTTGTTTAAGGACTTTCATGGCGACTTCAATTTTTTTGCCTTTGGTTATTATCCACATGCTGCGAAATACCACCGTTATAGCTCTGGAGCCTTCCCGCTTCTGGCCTTTGTAAACCTGTAATTTTTTACAGTTAATGCACAATGGCATTGTTGGCATACTCAGTGCATTTAACACAGAGCTATCTGTTAAAGAATCTCCTTCAATATTATCGATTCTGCAAAGCAGCAATGGGGAGATGTCATATTCTGATGGTGGTAAACATTCTTGGAGGTATATAGGTCCATTCAAGTCGTTATAAGTGTTCTTTAAGTCTTGAATGCTTTTGTATTTTTTTACATCATCATTAAATATGAATTCATTGCCAGTTATTTTTTCTAGTTTAAAAGTTTTTGGTTTTAAGCTGTCTTTCATGCAAACATCTATGTAATAATCATTATATCTTGAAGACTCACTTTCTCTTATGATAAAACAGCCAGGTCTGTTTGCTCTCTTTTCTTCTAGCTTAGCATAAGAAAATTCTCCTCCTACTGGTCCATGGCACTTCATGGCATGCAATTTTTGTAGCGACGGTGTATACACATCTTTACATATATTGAAAGTCCATTTGCAAGTTAACCTATAATAACCATCTAAAAGACTAATGAAGGATCTGAGAGTATCTGCAAAATCGAACTTAAGGTAAAAGGGTATTCCTGTCTTACGACTAATTTCTGTGGTATTATCAGCTCGAATAGATACAAAAACGACATCTTCTATTGAGCAAATTAATTGCCAATCTCCTTTTTTGGGATCTATGCAATATCTTATGCCAGGTTCTGTGGAGTGGTAAGGATTCACTTTCAAGTATATGTTGTAAATTGAACCCTCTTGGTCCACACAGGCTTTATAATTTTCAATTAAGTACTCTGGGGCAATCGATTCTAGTTGTTTTAAATATTCTGTTTTGACATATGAAGCATCATACACTGATTTGGACAGCTTAGTCAGATGGTCCCGAATCGGTTTTCTCATAAAGAATGGATGCCTTTTCAATACTTCCTTTGGAAAATATTTTTTGTAATCATTTTCTACAGCTTCTTTGGAAATATCCTTCTCTAACATCACTCTGTACATATCTGTTATACCTAAACCAACTATCTCACTTCTGTGTTTCTCATAAATTATATCCGGTATTTTGTTGTCCAAAACGTCAGTGCGAGCTTGGTGGAAGTAGTAATTGTAAGTGTGCTGGTCAAAGTTTCTGAGTTTTATTATGTTAGCCACTTTGAATCTCATTCTAAAGTCTAAAGGAACTGGTTTTTCACTGAATGTAGCGGCGGGCATAAGGAAATTCGTTTTTCCACTAACGCGAAGGGCAAATAGATGTCTGGTTAAGGAACCAATATTTAATTGCTTACATATATAAATACAAACATCTTCTGCAGTTGTAGTCTTATTATAAGGGACAGCTATGCATTTACTATCCAATACAATATTAACTGCTAGATGGTCACCCATTTTTAAAGTATTTGTATTTAATTTACTTTTATTCCGAAATAGGATAATCCAATTGCACTCATCCCATAGTCAATAAAATCTAAAACTAAAGACACAAATTAAAAGAAGTTCTCAAGTTAATTCAGTTTGCTTACCTTTAATATCAAATCAATAACAAGAAGTTATATTTTTTTATTTGTTAGGGGTGACCTTTATTTATCCCTTATCCATGTTGTGAGAATGCACAAAATACTCTCATGAATGAAAAAAACTGAAGTTTATTTACAAATAAAAATATGGTTGTGTGTAATGATCCGTCAACGGACTTTTAATCCCTTTTTAGAATTAGAAATGTATGCAGCTTGTACAATATTCGGAGTAAAATCGTTCCAAAAAATGAATTTCTGTAATTTTAATCTATTTGTGATAATTTTCTTAATTTAATTTACGTTTTAATTCAAGAATTTACTGTTCATTAAAACAGTTTAAAATTTGGAACGCAGCTCTTTTGACGTTAGGTACGTCAGAATTGTCAACGTCAAACCGTCAAACGGTAATGTTTACATGGTGAATTATTGGAAGACTGCCGCACCTTTCCTGTTAGAAAAATAATACAGATATTTATTTATAAAATCAAAATATAATACTGAAATTTCTATTCTAATTCGTCATGCGACTATAAGTAAGTGAAAAAGTTTTGTTTCCCGACATCTCTATCATTTAACCATTTTCAGATCTAACACAATTACCAATAATTATGGCTGGTAACGAAAGGGTATCTTTAAACGATGCTTTATCGAATGTAGAAGTATTAGACGAGCTCCCGCTACCTGACGAACAACCATGTATAGAAGCCCAACCGTGCTCCGTCGTTTATCAGGCAAATTTCGATACAAACTTTGAGGATAGAAATGGGTTTGTAACTGGCATAGCTAAATACATAGAAGAAGCTACAGTACATGCTAGTTTGGTAATTATTTGTCGTATATAATTAATATACATATGACCCTTGATATTTTAATATGTACCACTAACTAGAACGCTATATTTCACAAAATGTCTTAAATTAAAACGGGGATGTTACTTTTATGTCTTACAAAGTTGCACAAAAAGTTTACTGTCCTATTATTTATCCTCAAATGGTATAGCAATTCATTTCCAATAATTTTCCTTACAATATTCTATAATTTTCCCTTCCAGCACCCTCAATCACTCTCTTTCACATAAAATTGTGAATATTGATAAAAAAATTATATTTGCACAAAACAGTAAATTGCTTAATTTTTTCATAATTGTATATTATTATAGAATGAACTGCTGGATGAAGGCCAGGAACATGCTGTTATGCTTTATACTTGGAGATGTTGCTCTAGGGCTATACCACAGCCTAAATCTAATGAGCAACCAAATAGAGTGGAAATATATGAAAAAACTGTGGAGGTTTTAGCACCTGAAGTTAACAAACTGTTAAACTTCATGTATTTCCAAGTAAGATTTGTGTTTTTTTTTAATATTTAAGTTAATACCAAATTTGTTTGTTACCACAAATCTGAATTAAGAAGATCTGTTATAAAGTGAAAAAATGCATTTTCTTTCTATTTTCAGAGAAAAGCTATTGAAAGATTTTCACAAGAAGTGAAACGTTTGTGTCATACAGAAAAAAGAAAGGACTTTGTTTCAGAAGCATATTTATTAACTTTAGGAAAGTTTATAAACATGTTTGCAGTATTGGATGAGTTAAAGAATATGAAATCTAGTGTCAAAAATGACTATTCAACGTATAGAAGGTAAGTAACACTTTATTGTTTATGTATGGGTGATTCTCCCAAAATTTACAATTTAGGTTTTTGAACTTTAAGGCAAATTATGAGAATAAAAAAAAATCGGAAAAAATTTAGGGTATTCAGTTTATAGTCATGAATATTGATTGCTGGTAATTAAAGCTTAATTTTTTGAATTTTTGGTTTTGTAAAAAGCACTTAAATGACGGAGTGTAGGTACGCAAATGAATGGAAACACATAAATGACAAAAAATCGCTTGTTAATGACAAATATATTAGAATAAATCCACAAAAAAAATCCATAAGCCCATATTTTATTTCAAAAAATAAAAAATAAGAAAACAAGTATTCTTCTTAAATAAGTAGTAAGTTTCTGGTCTACTTCTTGTGAAGTTGGAACTTGGAAAAATTTACTTGATATGGGAACTGGAGCTTCTTTCAGCACACATAAAATTTCATTCACACCAAGTTGTTGGCGATCAGTAGTCAATGGCCAGTAATATCAATGTCCTCTTCGTGCCATGAACTTATCTGTTACATTATTTTCATTTATTTGCTCAACAATGCCTAAAATATTTATTTAATGTACCACAAACAAAAACAAAAAATGCTACAAAGAAACAAGTTTATTATTATGTGATTGCATAGCAAAAGTTTAAAGAAAATTACCTGGGTACCATTTGTCATCATATATAGCAGCTATCCACATATTGACCTCTAAATCATTGATGATCATAGAATCTTGGTATATCTTTGGGTAACAAATTCACATAAAATAAGCACTATATCACACACTAAATTACTGAAAAATATAATATGATAAACCAGCATAGCACATCACTATAATTTTGTTATTAAAAAAACCTGATAGTTTTTATAAATAGTCAAAGTAATTAATTTATGAACAATTTTTTTAATTATCCCTAATACTGACTTATTAATCCAAGGACAGATTCTAATATTCTTATACTTATTATCCCTTTACAGCCTTTATCCATCTATTTCAATCTCTAGAGTAGTTGTAATGCATATTTTGGGTACAATAAGCCTCCAGCTTTAGTACAGGTGGGTTTTGAAACACAAACTAATTCAGATAGATATTTATGAAACTAACCAACAGGACACGCACGCAAATGACATTTGATTTTTTTTATAAGTATAACATAAGATTGGATGACATTCGTATGTTAGTCTTGATATAACTTACTTATGTTTACATTCTGTCAAAATCACAAACAATAGATTCCACAGATCTAAAAGTAATACATCAAGGACATAAAATTGTGAATTTCGGGAGAATTGCCCATATGATTAAAAAATTGTTAGTATTAATTTATGAAGCTTTAGAAGAGCCATTTATAAATTGTGATTTATCTTTTCGGAAATTTATATGATACTACCCAAAACTACATTGTTAAAACAATTTTTAAAAAACCAGTGATATCCAACAGACCTTGTAACCTTGGCCTGGCCGTATAAACTGGCAGCACTTATATTCATTTCCTACTTGCACTAATGCTAACTCTGTAGTTTTTACATGCACTTCTGCAAAGTATATTGGAAATATTTCTATATGATTTTATTTTATTCAATACTTTTGTTATATTATTTATTATCCAATTTTAATATGATTATATTTTATATTTTGTACAATGCTTAAATGTTTTTTATTTTTATATTTTTCTGGGGCACTCTACTTACGGGGCCTTAGTATTCCATTGAAAATGAAAATATCTTCAAGGAGTAAAGAGATATAATAATGGCAAATCCATTAAATAATTAATAAACAATATACTTTGTTTTTTTTTTTTGTATTTTTTTGTGTCATCGCTAAGGTTATTAGCCTCATGTTCTGTGTAGGCTTTGTTACTGTTTCCCAGCGCCACTTTAGGAACAACACTGTTAATTAGAACCCAACAGTGAATGATCGAGTGGGGAATCCTACCAAGGCATCAGAAAGTTTTGGTTGTTGTTTTTATAAATATTCTGTTTTTATTAATATTATTAAATTTATACATATGTGATTTTGCACAGCACAAGTGCAGTTCTATATTGATTTTTGTAAAAACAAATAACTTGTATTTATTGAAAATAAAAACTTTTATAAATAATTTATTTTGTAATATATTATAAATAAATAATACACTACATTATCTGGATATAATTATATTACCCAATTTTCTTCTATTTGTACTTTTTATTGAAGTAAGTGTTTCTTCAAGGGCTGCACAATTTCTAAAAGTGATGTCAGATTCTCAAACCCTCCAGGAATCGCAGAACTTATCCATGTTTTTGGCCACACAGAACAAAATCAGGGATACAGTGAAGGAAAACTTGGAAAAAATTACTGGTTACGAGGAATTACTTGCGGACGTAGTTAATATCTGTGTCCACATGTTCGAAACAAAAATGTACCTGACACCCAGTGAGAAACACATGTTGGTTAAAGTTATGGGATTCGGGCTCTTCTTGATGGACAGCGAATTGTGCAATATTAATAAGTTGGATACGAAAAAAAAATTGAGATTGGATAAGATTGATCGTATCTTTAAGGTAAGATAAATATTTGAAATGCTAGTTTTACCAGACATTAAATATTTGTATCATCTGCATTTTTATTAAGACTTCTTGTTTTGAAATGATATACTAGAGGGGAGCAATGCTAGATCAACACAAGACCTACTAATAATATCTACATTAAAAGTGTTTTTATTTTAATTCAAAGACAAAGTTAGTTTGGAACTTTAAAAAAAGTTATTACTAAAATATGTCGGGACCTTTAAGTAGTAATTGCACGAAGTGTAATTCATTAGTGTTTACAAAAAAAAATAAGGGCTTTTATTAGAACCAATTACGTACATTTTATTTACTTTTTAAGGGTACTTACTGTATATTTCCAAAGTGGACATACAATAAAAACTATATATTCCATTTAATTTTTTTTTTTTCAGAATTTAGAAGTAGTACCCTTATTTGGTGATATGCAAATTGCTCCTTTTAACTACATCAAGAGAAGTAAACACTTCGACGCAAACAAATGGCCTTTATCTAACAGTAATACTCCCTCCCCTCAAGCTGATCTTATGGTGCACCTTCCTCAAATCCGTGAAGATCACGTCAAGTATATCAGCGAATTGTCTAGGTACAGCAATGAAGTTACTACGACATATAAAGAGTGTGGTAGCGATAGTGAAAATAAGGAAACTGCTGATTTGGCTTTGAGAGGTTTGCAGCTGTTGTCGGAATGGACTAGCGTGGTCACAGAGTTGTATTCTTGGAAGTTATTGCATCCTACTGACCATCACCAGAATAAAGAGTGTCCTAAAGATGCGGAAGAATATGAAAGGGTACGCATCTATACAGACTTTTATTAAAATTGTAGTTTTACTCCCCTGTTCTATATTTTTAGGCAACAAGGTACAACTACACTGAGGAAGAAAAATTCGCCTTAATTGAAGTCATAGCTATGATTAAAGGACTTCAAGTGTTGATGGCTAGAATGGAAACGGTGTTTACAGATGCAATAAGACGCAATATTTATGCTGAATTACAAGATTTTGTCCAACTCACGCTTAGAGAACCTTTGCGAAAAGCAACCAAAAATAAGAAAGATTTAATAAGAAGGTAAACAATTAAAACAATTATATGCTGTTGGTAGTTTGCTTTACAAAGAATTATATAAATATTATGTTATTTATAATTGGTAATATTGTTTTTAGTATTATAATGTCTGTAAGAGAAACTTGTGCTGACTGGCCCAGACAATTTGATCCTGTACAAGATCCTGTTTTGAAAGGCAAAAAGGATCCGGATACAGGATTTAATATCAAAGTACCGAGAAGGAATGTTGGTAAGCAATTCTTAAAAATAATAGATGAAAATAACAGCAGGACAATGAATAATTTTTGATTGATACATGACTTTTATTAATGTTTTAATTCAATTTTAAGGTCCTTCCTCCACGCAATTATATATGGTTAGAACAATGCTGGAATCTTTGATTGCTGATAAATCCGGTGGCAAAAGAACATTACGAAAAGACATTGATGGACAATATTTGATGCATATCGATGTGTTTCACAAGAATTCCTTTTATTGGAACTATCTATTAAGTTTTAGTGGTAAGTTAGACAAAACATCAAATTAAATGACAGAACAATTTGTTTTTATTAAAAGTTAACTGTCATTGGAACACAAATAATTTCACACTAGTATAGTGTATTGTTGAAGCCGTCCTTCAAAATGTATTATATATTTTCAGAATATTTGCAAAAATGCTGTGATCTATCCCAGTTATGGTACAGGGAGTTTTATTTGGAAATGACAATGGGAAAAAGAATAAATGTAAGTATATTATTTCTTTTATTGTGTTTGATTTTTATTAATTGTTCTATTTTTAAAAATACTAGACAATAGTAATTAAAAATTAAAATTGTACAGGGATAGTTCGGTATCTACGTGGCCTAACAAAGAAAACGTAAGTTTTTCCTGTTCGCTCATTGTAGGTCAATGAATCCAAGTCCTCGAAATAACTATTTACAACAGTGATTACTTCAGAATTAGACAAAAATCTCCTACTGTCGAACAATTTGTAAATGTTGGCCATTGTAATCGCAGACTTGTGGACATGTGCATTATACTGATGAAAAAGCACTTTCTTATTTTCCAAATGAGGCTGTTTCTCTTTAATTTTGTCGCTTTTTTTTGGAACAAATTGTACATAATACTTGTAATTTTTCCCTTTCTAAGTAGTCGACCAAGATAATTGCTATAGTTGGCATAATCTTTCCTGGTTACAAAACCGTTTCTGCCTTAATCTGTAGTGAAAAAACCTTTGTGTGTCCATTGTTTGGACTGTTCTTTCGTTTCAAGAGTATACTGGTGGACCCAGGTTTCATCGACGTCTATGAAATGGGAAGCCATTCGTTCTGCATTGAAAACGTGCCAAACGTTCGCGAGAAACACTCAAACGATTCAGTTTTTGCTCCGGTGTGAGAGCGACACCCAATGCGCTGAATACTTTTTCCAATTTTTCAGTTAAAATTTGGTGTACATATTGTCTACTATCTCGTGCACTTTTACACGATACTTCTGTAGACTTTTTCAATCATATCTGGAGCAATCTTTAAACGTCCACTACGTGGTTTATCATTTGTGCTCATACTGCCACTTTATCACTGTTCTTAACTCAGTTTTCTAATTTTTTTACAAATTCGCACGATAAATTCACTTTGGCTTATTTTCAAAAAAAGACTAATTGACAGATCGCTCTGTACTGTCATATTTAACCTATTAAAATATGATTTAAACTGTTGTCAAGGGATATTTGTTGCCCAGAACTTCTGTTCCTTTTCTCACAAGGATCCAGAATAGGACCACTCATATCCAAACTTTGTTGGATGTTTCATTTTATTATACAAATTATGGATATCACACTCATGTCTCTCACTTATCAAGACCAGCCAATATGCTTGTTTGAGCATAGATTTTATCAGTCTTTCCCTGAACTCCTTTAAAGCTAAGTTAAGGTCAAAGCTTTAAAAATGATATTTGTGATTCGTTGATAAATGTATTATATTTAGTATCTATGTAGGTTAAATACCACAGTATTATTTTACTATAAAGGGGCCTTCCCGTTAAATAAATAAATGATTTTACAGAGGGGTAAAAAAAGATTCCTCCGAATTTGCGCAATCTGTTTTATGCCACATAGTTACTGAAAAACCTAGTAACTAATTCTTAAATTAAACACTTTAATAAAGTTTATTCAAAGCAGCTGTTTATTATATTTAAAAAATTCTGAAAATAACCTTTTTCACTTGTCATAAAATTTAAGAATAGTTAGTTTTTATGTATTTTGAAGGGTCCAGTATTCGTTTTAGAATTGTTTATCTTGTAGATATATTTTATAAACTTTTTTTTTTCTGGTATATAGTGAAATCGAAAAATACTTTTATTTATCAATGGAAATTTAATTATTTTATAATATAATGAATTCTAGAAAAATTCAAAATAAATATGTCAAATGTCAATATCTGTCTTCTATACCTTTGTAATTTTGTGGTCTTGATCTTGAAGAACTTTGGTCACTCTTCTTTTTTATAATTTTTTTTGTTGTCTGTTACCTCTTAAAATAAGCAGAATAAAATAATATTGACCAAATTATTGTTTGAAGCAGACCAGTGTCAAAATGGCCGAATTTCTTCAAGAAAATGACCATGAAATGTGCTACGGTTTAGAAGAAGAGAATGAAAGCTGTCAAATGTCAAATTTGATTTCATTTGAATTTAAAATTCTGTTTTAATTGATAAAGATTTCCTGATACAAATATTCAAAAAGATAGTCCATTTGAATAATAAGAATCTTTATTGGTATTTAGATACTATTACATAAAAAAATAGAAATACAATGGCATACAATATGAATATGTACAAATTGAAACAGAAATTGTAAATAAATTTTAAAAGTATGTATATAAAATTTTAGTACTTCAAATAATCTATCAGTAAGTAGTAATAAAATAGTAATGTGAGATTTTTATAAAATTACAGAAATGTACTGTACGTCACAACCACAATGAGGAATGTAACGATTTAATTACAATGGAAAAGAGGATCCAGTTTCCTATTGATATGTCAATGCCTTGGATTCTAACAGATCATATTCTAAAAACGAAGGAACCTTCTATGATGGAGTGAGTTCTATCATGTGAGAATTGGATAATTTTGTGACAAAAATCTTTTATTTATTTCAGATATGTTTTGTATCCATTAGATTTATACAATGATAGTGCTTTATACGCTTTAACTATATTTAGAAAACAATTTTTGTATGATGAAGTAGAAGCCGAAGTGAATCTATGTTTTGACCAGTTTGTCTATAAATTGAGCGAACAAATTTTTGCATACTACAAGCAATTAGCGGCTAGGTAAGTTTGATCACCACTAATACATTTATTGTTCTTTTTAAGCAGATGTACCTCTCAGGAAATAGTCTTAGGACCCTGGCGCTTTAATTTATAGCTCTTATTTGTTAAAGGAGGTAAATTCAAGGTTAAATTATTGTTCTTTTTCAGTATATTTCTGGATAAAAGATTTAGAGTCGAATGTTCTGCCGTTGGTGCATATTTACTACCCTATCCCAGGGCAAATCGTTACGAGACTCTTCTAAAACAAAGACACGTTCAATTATTAGGTAGATCTATCGATTTGAATAAACTTATCACCCAACGCATTAATGCTGATATGCAGAAATCTCTGGATTTAGCAATAAGCAAATTTGAAGGAGGTGATATCACTGGAGTTATAGAATTAGATGGTTTGTTGCAGGTAAACACTTATATAACTATTAATCCTTGCTTAATAAAGTTTATTTTGTTAATTTTTAGGTTAACAGGTTATGTCATAAGTTGTTGAGTAAATTGTTAGCTCTTGACGATTTCGATTCGATGTACCGTGAAGCTAATCATAATGTTCTGGCTCCTTATGGTCGCATAACATTACATGTTTTCTGGGAATTAAATTACGATTTTCTGCCAAATTATGTATATAATGCAGCTACAAATAGGTGAGTACAAATCGGTCATATTCACTTATATTAGGTCTTTTCCTTTGCATTGAAAGTGTAGTACTGAGCTATGCCACTTCTGAAAATATCGTTCTATCCATACAATTTGTATAAATGGAACAATATTTTCAGAAGTGGCGTAACTCAGTGCTACACTTTCGATGCAAAGGAAAAGACCTATATATAGACAGATAAGTATGGGACAGCTATAGGATTATTTACATTTCTACTTTACTTCAGTTCATAGTTAAATTAATTTTTGGTTTACGGCTTACATTCTTCCTTTGTCTGTTAGATTAGATTTAATTAGGACTATGGGCCATGTGGCCTCCCCCACCCCGACCTTTTCAGATCTATTGTGGATGTCCTTTAATCGACATTTAGAGTACCTTGTCTAATTCAGTCTTTTTTAGTAGACTCCATAGACTAGGAAGTAGTTCTCCAGCGTAGCTAGTTGCCCTTCTTCAAGTGTAAGGAATCTCAGTCTTGATAGACCTTTGCAGTTACACAGTACGTGCTCTACAGTTTCCTGGTCTTCCTGACAGAATCGGCACAAGGTATCTCTTCTGTGTGTTTTTAAATATATTGAGATCTTTTGGCATTTCCAAGTCTTCCAAATTCTTTCTCGCTCTACTATGTTGAAAGCTGCTCTGAGGTCAATGAAAGCATACTTATAATTCTTCTCCTTTCCTCGATTTCCATTGGGCTTTTCAACATGTAATTTGTCTTCCTGGCCTGAAAAATGCTTGTTCCTCTTCTAATTTTGATTCTATCTTTTAATTTAGTCTATTATTCTTGTGTAAATTTTAAAGCTGGTTTAGAGTAAGCGTATTGGTCTAATTTTTACAGAATGTCTGGTCCATTTTCTTGTATATCGGTAATAGTAAGTTTTTTCCCCAATCTTTTGGGATTTGTGCATATATTCTACAACCATCCCTTTCCTGTTTCTCCTAGCCATTTAATCACCTCTGGAATTGTTAACTGTGGCCTGAATTATAGTAATCAGAGTTAGATGAACAGATAATAATTTACCTAATTTAATAATGAATAAAAATGTTTTAGATTCACCAAATACAGGGGTATATCATTTGGTGCTGCTGTATCTAGAGATAGAGCACCGCAAATGTCTTATCATTATATGTGGGGCACTAAGCAACTTAATTTAGCATATACAACTCAGTACTCACAATATTCAGGTAAGCATATATACACTTTTGTTTACTCTTCTAGATAGTTTTGGTTAAAAAGTTGTAGATTAATTATTATAATTATTTTCCCCACTCTTCATAGCAATTTTTAGCTTAGTTGCTAGTCACCTTCATTATGTAGCTTTTTTTAGTTTACAGTAAATGTCCGCACCACAAACAGTATTAGATTGCCAAACTATTAATTTCTTTCAGGTTTTGTTGGTCCACAACACTTCCACACAATGTGTCGACTTCTAGGCTATCAGGGCATCGCGGTAGTCATGGAAGAATTACTAAAAATAGTCAAAAGTCTTATACAAGGCAGTCTTCTTCAATTCACCAAGACTCTGATGGAAGCCATGCCAAAAATTTGTAAATTACCACGATACGACTATGGTTCACCCGGTGTTCTTGGATACTACCACGCCCAACTCAACGATATTGTCCAATATCCTGATGCACGTACAGAACTGTTCCACAATTTCAGAGAATTTGGAAACATCATCTTATTCTGTTTACTGATGGAACAAGCGTTGTCTCAGGAAGAAGTCTGTGATCTACTGCAAGCTGCACCATTCCAAAATATTCTTCCAAGGCCTTTCTGCAAAGGTTAATTGAGTTTAACTGCTCTATTAGAAAAATATTCATACAATTGTTGTTTTCAGAGGGCGAGAAACTTGAGGCCAAACAAAAACGACTTGAAACCAAATACCAAGCTCTGCAAATAGTACCTAACATTGAAAAATTGGGAACTGCCAAACAAGCAATGATTTCTAGAGAAGGTAATTTGTTATATTTCGGTTATGTATTACATCTGGAGTGCCGTAAGACTCCGTCTTGAGTCCTCTATTGTTTACTATTTATATTTTCATTTTAAGGTGACTTACTGACTAGAGAACGACTGTGTTGCGGTCTATCGATTTTCGAAGTCGTTTTAAGCAGACTGAGAAGCTTTTTGGACGACCCGGTTTGGGTAGGACCGCCACCAACCAATGGAGTTATGAACGTAGATGAGTGTACTGAGTTTCATCGATTATGGTCAGCTTTACAATTCGTCTACTGCATTCCAGTTAGCGAAAATGAATACACAGTAGAGTAAGTACTTTATGCAAAAATCCTGTGTTCCTTGTTAATGCTTTTTTCTCGCCAGGGAGATGTTTGGAGAAGGATTGCATTGGGCTGGTTGTACCATGATTGTTCTTCTGGGACAACAAAGAAGATTTGAGGCACTGGATTTCTGCTATCACATCTTGAGGGTGCAACGAGTGGATATGAAGGATGAAGTCGTTAAAAGAATTGTAAGTTTATTTACTTATTATTTATTTAAAGCATTCGGTGATTGGGTTGGCCCTGCTCAAACTATAAAAAATAGCTGTGTGAAATTCGAAATTTTTTTACCAAGTTTGACCACTCATAAAACTTATTTTAACTATCCCTTAAAATAATTTCAAGAGAAAAATTATGGGAAAACAAGAGTTCTGCGACTAATTTCTACTTTGAAAAAATTACCAATTGCCAGAAAAGCACAATTAAATATAAAGACGTTTAAAATAATTCAAAAATACTTCGAAATTCGATTTGGAAATATTATTTTTCAAATTTTCACAGCTTACAGCTCTAAAAAAATGCATTTTAACAGTTTCCCTTTTTTTTAGAATTTAAAACGGATGGTGGACAGAATCAGGAGATTCCAAGTGTTGAATTCCCAGATATTCGCCATTCTCAACAAGTTCTTAAGGTCAGGTGAAAGCGACGAGTTATCAGTGGAGCATGTGCGATGTTTCCCGCCACCAATTCATCACTCGATAAATCCCCAGCAACATTATCACGCGCCAGAACATTTGCGGCAATGTTAATTTGTTTTTAAGGACTAATTCATTTAAAATCCCGCCAGTTGTACTGGTGGTAGCCAAATACCTATTTTAGCCACATTTTTTAACTACCCTGTGTATATTAGCAGGAAAACCGAAGAATAATGTTCACTCTTTCGTAATCCATTCCAACTTGACCTAATTCCGTTTAGAGTTTAAAGTTATTTTTTGAAAAATGTAAGGTTACAAAATATCACCTTGTTTTAAACGTTCTACAGTAATTTGTGAAAATTAGATTATTAACTTAAAGCAAAGTTGAATGGCTTAAGGAAAAAGTGATAAATTTTGTGAATAGTTTATTCGATTATCATTCGTATAATGTATGTTAAAATTTTAATTTGAAATGAATGGAGCAATCGACATTTTTATATAGACATAATGGAATAACAAGCTTTCTTATTTTGTAACTTTTTATAAACTATTTATAATTTATATACTCATTATGTATTCTATAGATAACCTTTATTGTGTTTTAGTTTAATAAAATAATTTACATACAGTTACTTTGGTTTTATTTATAATTTTTAGATAGGAAGTTCACCCCTTAATTGCTCGTGCTTTCCGTTATATGTACCCCAATTTTCATCAAGATCTGAGACAAAAAATTTTTTTCTTGAAAAAATAAAAAATTGTTTAAATTTGCACACGGATAGAGGGTCATATGTAGATCTTAAAAATACACTCAGTTTTTTTTCTAACGGCAAAATTAAAAAAGTTGTGGCAAAAATAAAAAATTTCGATGTCTCCTCGCGTTTCTATTATCCTGATACAAAGTTCTGAATTCGAAAAGATCCAATTTTGTCTACAAAATTTTGGTATCAGGATAGCAGAAACGCGACAAGGTATTTGACTTATTTTTAAATGTGAATAACTACTAAACGGCGCAAGATAAAGGCAAGCGGCAAAGGGCATTTTAAACTATCCGTCCGGCTCTAACTTTGTGTGAATTTATGGAATAATTCGATCATTATTAACTGAGGAAATAAGAAAAAAAGTTGCTCCCTTATAGCTAGGGAGCAACTGGGTTCACCCCTTAATTGCTCGTGCTTTCCTTTATATGTACCCCAATTTTCATCAAGATCTGAGACAAAAAAAATTTTTGTCAAAAAATTTGGAAGGCTATACCCTTTCGATTTTCTTGAAAAAATAAAAAATTGTTTAAATCTGCACACGGATAGAGGGTCATATGTAGATCTTAAAAATACATTCAGTTTTTTTCTAACAGCAATATTAAAAAAGTGGCAAAAATAAAAAATTTCGATATCTCCTCGCGTTTCTATTATCCTGATAAAAGTTCCGAATTCGAAAAGATCCAATTTTGTCTACAAAATTTTGGTATCAGGATAGCAGAAACGCGACAAGGTATTTGACTTATTTTTAAATGTGAATAACTACTAAACGGCGCAAGATAGAGGCAAGCGGCAAAGGGCATTTTAAACTATCCGTCCGGCTCTAACTTTGTGTGAATTTATGGAATAATTCGATCATTATTAACTGAGGAAATAGGAAAAAAAGTTGCTCCCTTATAGCTAGGGAGCAACTGGGTTCACCCCTTAATTGCTCGTGCTTTCCTTTATATGTACCCCAATTTTCATCAAGATCTGAGACAAAAAAAATTTTTGTCAAAAAATTTGGAAGGCTCCCTTTCGATTTTCTTGAAAAAATAAAAAATCGTTTAAATCTGCACACGGATAGAGGGTCATATGTAGATCTTAAAAATACACTCAGTTTTTTTCTAACGGCAAAATTAAAAAAGTTGTGGCAAAAATAAAAAATTTCGATATCTCCTCGCGTTTCTATTATCCTGATAAAAGTTCCGAATTCTAAAAGATCCAATTTTGTCTACAAAATTTTGGTATCAGGATAGCAGAAATGCGACAAGGTATTTGACTTATTTTTAAATGTGAATAACTACTAAACGGCGCAAGATAGAGGCAAGCGGCAAAGGGCATTTTAAACTATCCGTCCGGCTCTAACTTTGTGTGAATTTATGGAATAATTCGATCATTATTAACTGAGGAAATAAGAAAAAAAAGTTAACCCTTATAGCTAGGGAGCAACTGGGTTCACCCCTTAATTGCTCGTGCTTTCCTTTATATGTACCCCAATTTTCATCAAGATCTGAGACAAAAAAAATTTTTGTCAAAAAATTTGGAAGGCTATACCCTTTCGATTTTCTTGAAAAAATAAAAAATTGTTTAAATCTGCACACGGATAGAGGGTCATATGTAGATCTTAAAAATACACTCAGTTTTTTTCTAACAGCAATATTAAAAAAGTTGTGGCAAAAATAAAAAATTTCGATATCTCCTCGCGTTTCTATTATCCTGATAAAAGTTCCGAATTCGAAAAGATCCAATTTTGTCTACAAAATTTTGGTATCAGGATAGCAGAAACGCGACAAGGTATTTGACTTATTTTTAAATGTGAATAACTACTAAACGGCGCAAGATAGAGGCAAGCGGCAAAGGGCATTTTAAACTATCCGTCCGGCTCTAACTTTGTGTGAATTTATGGAATAATTCGATCATTATTAACTGAGGAAATAAGAAAAAAAAGTTAACCCTTATAGCTAGGGAGCAACTGGGTTCACCCCTTAATTGCTCGTGCTTTCCTTTATATGTACCCCAATTTTCATCAAGATCTGAGACAAAAAAAATTTTTGTCAAAAAATTTGGAAGGCTATACCCTTTCGTTTTTCTTGAAAAAATAAACAATTGTTTAAATTTGCACACGGATAGAGGGTCATATATAGATCTTAAAAATACACTCAGTTTTTTTCTAACAGCAATATTAAAAAAGGTGTGGCAAAAATAAAAAATTTCGATGTCTCCTCGCGTTTCTATTATCCTGATACAAAGTTCTGAATTCGAAAAGATCCAATTTTGTCTACAAAATTTTGGTATCAGGATAGCAGAAACGCGACAAGGTATTTGACTTATTTTTAAATGTGAATAACTACTAAACGGCGCAAGATAAAGGCAAGCGGCAAAGGGCATTTTAAACTATCCGTCCGGCTCTAACTTTGTGTGAATTTATGGAATAATTCGATCATTATTAACTGAGGAAATAAGAAAAAAAGTTGCTCCCTTATAGCTAGGGAGCAACTGGGTTCACCCCTTAATTGCTCGTGCTTTCCTTTATATGTACCCCAATTTTCATCAAGATCTGAGACAAAAAAAATTTTTGTCAAAAAATTTGGAAGGCTATACCCTTTCGATTTTCTTGAAAAAATAAAAAATTGTTTAAATCTGCACACGGATAGAGGGTCATATGTAGATCTTAAAAATACATTCAGTTTTTTTCTAACAGCAATATTAAAAAAGTGGCAAAAATAAAAAATTTCGATATCTCCTCGCGTTTCTATTATCCTGATAAAAGTTCCGAATTCGAAAAGATCCAATTTTGTCTACAAAATTTTGGTATCAGGATAGCAGAAACGCGACAAGGTATTTGACTTATTTTTAAATGTGAATAACTACTAAACGGCGCAAGATAGAGGCAAGCGGCAAAGGGCATTTTAAACTATCCGTCCGGCTCTAACTTTGTGTGAATTTATGGAATAATTCGATCATTATTAACTGAGGAAATAGGAAAAAAAGTTGCTCCCTTATAGCTAGGGAGCAACTGGGTTCACCCCTTAATTGCTCGTGCTTTCCTTTATATGTACCCCAATTTTCATCAAGATCTGAGACAAAAAAAATTTTTGTCAAAAAATTTGGAAGGCTCCCTTTCGATTTTCTTGAAAAAATAAAAAATCGTTTAAATCTGCACACGGATAGAGGGTCATATGTAGATCTTAAAAATACACTCAGTTTTTTTCTAACGGCAAAATTAAAAAAGTTGTGGCAAAAATAAAAAATTTCGATATCTCCTCGCGTTTCTATTATCCTGATAAAAGTTCCGAATTCTAAAAGATCCAATTTTGTCTACAAAATTTTGGTATCAGGATAGCAGAAATGCGACAAGGTATTTGACTTATTTTTAAATGTGAATAACTACTAAACGGCGCAAGATAGAGGCAAGCGGCAAAGGGCATTTTAAACTATCCGTCCGGCTCTAACTTTGTGTGAATTTATGGAATAATTCGATCATTATTAACTGAGGAAATAAGAAAAAAAAGTTAACCCTTATAGCTAGGGAGCAACTGGGTTCACCCCTTAATTGCTCGTGCTTTCCTTTATATGTACCCCAATTTTCATCAAGATCTGAGACAAAAAAAATTTTTGTCAAAAAATTTGGAAGGCTATACCCTTTCGATTTTCTTGAAAAAATAAAAAATTGTTTAAATCTGCACACGGATAGAGGGTCATATGTAGATCTTAAAAATACACTCAGTTTTTTTCTAACAGCAATATTAAAAAAGTTGTGGCAAAAATAAAAAATTTCGATATCTCCTCGCGTTTCTATTATCCTGATAAAAGTTCCGAATTCGAAAAGATCCAATTTTGTCTACAAAATTTTGGTATCAGGATAGCAGAAACGCGACAAGGTATTTGACTTATTTTTAAATGTGAATAACTACTAAACGGCGCAAGATAGAGGCAAGCGGCAAAGGGCATTTTAAACTATCCGTCCGGCTCTAACTTTGTGTGAATTTATGGAATAATTCGATCATTATTAACTGAGGAAATAAGAAAAAAAAGTTAACCCTTATAGCTAGGGAGCAACTGGGTTCACCCCTTAATTGCTCGTGCTTTCCTTTATATGTACCCCAATTTTCATCAAGATCTGAGACAAAAAAAATTTTTGTCAAAAAATTTGGAAGGCTATACCCTTTCGTTTTTCTTGAAAAAATAAACAATTGTTTAAATTTGCACACGGATAGAGGGTCATATATAGATCTTAAAAATACACTCAGTTTTTTTCTAACAGCAATATTAAAAAAGGTGTGGCAAAAATAAAAAATTTCGATGTCTCCTCGCGTTTCTATTATCCTGATACAAAGTTCTGAATTCGAAAAGATCCAATTTTGTCTACAAAATTTTGGTATCAGGATAGCAGAAACGCGACAAGGTATTTGACTTATTTTTAAATGTGAATAACTACTAAACGGCGCAAGATAAAGGCAAGCGGCAAAGGGCATTTTAAACTATCCGTCCGGCTCTAACTTTGTGTGAATTTATGGAATAATTCGATCATTATTAACTGAGGAAATAAGAAAAAAAGTTGCTCCCTTATAGCTAGGGAGCAACTGGGTTCACCCCTTAATTGCTCGTACTTTCCTTTATATGTACCCCAATTTTCATCAAGATCTGAGACAAAAAAAATTTTTGTCAAAAAATTTGGAAGGCTATACCCTTTCGATTTTCTTGAAAAAATAAAAAATCGTTTAAATCTGCACACAGATAGAGGGTCATATGTAGATCTTAAAAATACACTCAGTTTTTTTCTAACGGCAAAATTAAAAAAGTTGTGGCAAAAATAAAAAATTTCGATATCTCCTCGCGTTTCTATTATCCTGATAAAAGTTCCGAATTCTAAAAGATCCAATTTTGTCTACAAAATTTTGGTATCAGGATAGCAGAAATGCGACAAGGTATTTGACTTATTTTTAAATGTGAATAACTACTAAACGGCGCAAGATAGAGGCAAGCGGCAAAGGGCATTTTAAACTATCCGTCCGGCTCTAACTTTGTGTGAATTTATGGAATAATTCGATCATTATTAACTGAGGAAATAAGAAAAAAAAGTTAACCCTTATAGCTAGGGAGCAACTGGGTTCACCCCTTAATTGCTCGTGCTTTCCTTTATATGTACCCCCAATTTTCATCAAGATCTGAGACAAAAAAAATTTTTGTCAAAAAATTTGGAAGGCTATACCCTTTCGATTTTCTTGAAAAAATAAAAAATTGTTTAAATCTGCACACGGATAGAGGGTCATATGTAGATCTTAAAAATACACTCAGTTTTTTTCTAACAGCAATATTAAAAAAGTTGTGGCAAAAATAAAAAATTTCGATATCTCCTCGCGTTTCTATTATCCTGATAAAAGTTCCGAATTCGAAAAGATCCAATTTTGTCTACAAAATTTTGGTATCAGGATAGCAGAAACGCGACAAGGTATTTGACTTATTTTTAAATGTGAATAACTACTAAACGGCGCAAGATAGAGGCAAGCGGCAAAGGGCATTTTAAACTATCCGTCCGGCTCTAACTTTGTGTGAATTTATGGAATAATTCGATCATTATTAACTGAGGAAATAAGAAAAAAAAGTTAACCCTTATAGCTAGGGAGCAACTGGGTTCACCCCTTAATTGCTCGTGCTTTCCTTTATATGTACCCCAATTTTCATCAAGATCTGAGACAAAAAAAATTTTTGTCAAAAAATTTGGAAGGCTATACCCTTTCGTTTTTCTTGAAAAAATAAACTGTTTAAATTTGCACACGGATAGAGGGTCATATATAGATCTTAAAAATACACTCAGTTTTTTTCTAACAGCAATATTAAAAAAGGTGTGGCAAAAATAAAAAATTTCGATGTCTCCTCGCGTTTCTATTATCCTGATACAAAGTTCTGAATTCGAAAAGATCCAATTTTGTCTACAAAATTTTGGTATCAGGATAGCAGAAACGCGACAAGGTATTTGACTTATTTTTAAATGTGAATAACTACTAAACGGCGCAAGATAAAGGCAAGCGGCAAAGGGCATTTTAAACTATCCGTCCGGCTCTAACTTTGTGTGAATTTATGGAATAATTCGATCATTATATATTAACTGAGTAAATAAGAAAAAAAAGTTAACCCTTATAGCTAGGGAGCAACTGAGTTCACCCCTTAATTGCTCGTGCTTTCCTTTATATGTACCACCAATTTTCATCAAGATCGGAAACAAAAAAATTTTTTGACAAAAAATTTGATTTTTTTGAAAAAATAAAAAATTGTTTAAATTTGCATACGGATAGAGGGTTACATGTAGATCTCAAAAATACACTCAGTTTTTTTTCTAACAGCAATCTTAAAAAAGTTGTGGCAAAAATAAAAAATTTCGATATCTCCTCGCGTTTCTATTATCCTGATACAAAGTTCCGAATTCGAAAAATTGGTGGATTTGAATCTTGAATACCTCCTCGCTCACATTAGTCTTGTATTTGGTAGGCAATACGGAATACACCTGTATCGTAATGATATTATTTTATTTGTTGGCTATTTCCTTGGTAGGTATTTATCGCGTGTGTGTGTGGTGTGTGTGTATTGTGTGTGTGTGTGTATGGTGTGTGTGTGTGTGCGCACACGTGTGTGTACGAGTGTGTGTGCGTGTGCGCACGTGTGGGTGTGCGTGCACGTGTGTGTACCAGTGTGTGTGTGTGTGTGTGTGTGTGTGTGTGTGTGTGTGTGTGTGTGCGCGCGCGCGCGTGTGTGTGCATGTGGGTGTTTGCGTGTGTGTGGGTGCGTGAGTGTGTTTGTGTGTTCGCGTGTGGGTGTGTGTTTGTACGTGTGTGGTGTGTGTGTGTGTGTATGGTGTGTGTGTGCGTGTATGTGGATGCTGTGGGGTGTGTGTGCGCGCGCGCGTGTGTGTGTGTGTGTGGCGTGTGTGGTGTGTGTGTGTGTGCGTGTGGTGTGTGTGTGTGTGTGTATGGTGTGTGTGATGTGTGTGTGCGTGTATGTGGAGGCTGTGTGGTGTGTGTGAGCGTATATGTGGAGGCTGTGTGGTTTGTGTGCGCGTGTATGTGGAGGCTGTGTGGTGTGTGTGTGCGCGCGCGCGCGTGTGTGTGTGGCGTGCGTGTGTGTGATGTGTGTGTGCATATGTATGTATATATATATATATATATATATATATATATATATATATATATATATATATATATATATATATATATATATATATATGAAAAGGTTTAGTGCGGTGAAGAATTAAAAGAAAAAAGGGTTATTGGGAAATACCGCAAAAAAGAGAAAAAAAAAAAGAGAGAAAAAAGCCTGAAGGGATTGTTGGCCGAAGCCACAAATGTGTGGTTGGCCACTTGAGTGATCTCCTGTTTGTTTTTTCTTCCATCGCTAGTTCCATTCTGTCTTGAACTTGGCTGCACCGTACTGATGAAGACCAATAGTCAGAAACACGTGTCTACGGTTTGCCCTTCAGGCTTTTTTCTCTCTTTTTTGCGGTATTTCCCAATAACCCTTTTTTTTTTTTCTTATATATATATATATATATATAATTAAACCAGCAACGAATATAAACTCTCTTATATATATATATATATATATTTATATATATATATATATATATATATATATATATATATATATATATATATATATATATATATATATATATATGTATGTTTGTATGTATGTATATATGTATGTGTGTGTGTGCGCACGCGTGTGTGTACGAGTGTGTGTGCGTATGTGTGCGTGTGGTGTGTGTGTGCGTACGAGTGTGTGTGTGTGTGTAAGTGTGTGCGTGCGGTGTGTGTGCATGTTTGCGTGTGTTTGTGTGTGCGTGTGTGTGCGCGTGTATGTTCGTGCGTGTGGTGTGTGTGTGTATGTTATCATTTCCATAAAATTTTAAATGAGTTACTTTTTATTTGAATTATAAAGAGAAATATTGTTGTGTGAATGGTTTATTTTAAACATTTTGGATTAGGGTCTCCGAGCCGAACTTGAACCACATTTTGTTCATACTCTAAAATAATTTGAAATTTGCATGCCTGGAGCTGTTTGTAAATACATTTTTTATAAACAAAAATCATCAGTAATTTATATTAAATTTTATGGAAATCACAAGATTTTTCCTTGCTGTTTTGTAGATCGCCTTTCAAATAATCGAACTATCGATATAAAAACTCTAACACTGGATAATAATTAACAAATAAAAATATTAACACCACTTAATAACGATAAAATAGATTAGTTTACAAATTTGTCAGCCATTTCTAATTTCTAATTCATTTTTGGAAATTATGACTTTGCGATAGAATATTTATTGTAAAATGGGAAATGAAATAAATAAAACAGAGTTAAATACGAGCTTTTTATTAATGAAAAATAAATTATAAACGTTTTAAGTAATCCTAGTGTGAATGTCAAGTTTTCGTCTTTTTTTTTTTCGGGAAGGTTCTCCTTGCAGTTTATTATCTGAAATTTCAATTACATCATCATAGCAACGTAAAATCGCCGTTATCCACCTACTTGCTTTTCTGTTATCAAATGCTTATTTTATTTCTATTTCGATGCTTATTAGGCTATTAATAAAAATCACGCATGGTACCTAAAATCATCTCTCATACTGTATATTAGTATCAACGATTACCGTAGATTGCTGCAGGTCAGTAAAATAACAAATGAATATATTCGATTATCTTCAAACGCGAAAATGGGCTAAAAATGTAAAGCGCAAACGTTATTTCTACTCTTATCAAATAAAAAGTATAATCTTTGATTATAATTCAAGTGTTTTTTACAAAAGGGTCTAACTTGATTTGTTTTAGCTATGATAAATTTCATAGTACTTACACCTCCACCTTTTTCAAGTATACCGATAATTATTTTTAAATTAAAAAATTATTACATTTTTGTGAGCCATGTTCCTTGATAGGTTGACATTTATTTTGGTCATTGCTATTCTGCAAGGATATGCTGAAAGCGGAATACTGTATCCTAGAGAATCAGCCACTAGGGAAAAATTATCACTAGATGGTTTGTGGTATTTTTCTTTATCTACAAATGGATCAAATCCTAGAGAAGGCCTTACGGTAAGTTCAGGAATATTATATTGTCTATAAATAAGACACATTTTTACCTAACCTAACTGAAAATCCCTTTATTTACATTTGAGGAATTTTATAATGTGCTCAGTTGATTTATTTTTTGTATTTGTCTGTAATTTGACGTCTTATTTAGATTTACCTCTCTAATGTCCCCGCAGCATCTTCAACTCGACAACGAGTATTTTTTACTCATATTCTTTCTTCAGTAAAATCCTTTTATTTTAACAAGATTGCTACGTTGAAATTTATTTGACTGGTCAAGTCAAATGTAAATGTCGAATACATTGTAATCAAGTCTTTCTATTAAAATGAAGCAGACACAAAGAATTTAAATTCTGATCTAATTGATTGGGGGAGATACAACAAGAACACAGAGGTTTGTGTTTTATTTAACAATAAATATCCCAACCGATATCCAATTTCGCAATCCACCGTAAGCAAAATTGAGAAGAAATTCAGAAAAACTGGCTATCACCATAAAAGTAGAAGAAAACAAATAATATAAACAAGAAATTAAATATTCTACCAGCGTATGCAGATATACCTAAAAAAAAACTTATTTATCTAATAATACAAGATATTTTAATTCCATAAGATTTAAACGCTAGTATTCTCTTGATTTATTTGTATTTATTATGTATTTGCAAAGGCTAAGAGCCAAGTTTTAATAAATAGATAAAACAATAATTTCTATACAATTTGATTAGATATCTAATATTAACATGCAATTTATTAAATTGAATAATAACTCGTTTAATTACGGACTTTGAATTTTGGAATTAAAAAACTTTTCTAGCGATTTTACTTATTACTGATTATTAGCTGTGAAACAAATTTATTTTCAACAATTGAATACCTGCCTCTATCAAGGTTGTAACCATATAGTATTACTATATAAATATTAAATAATAATAATAATTTATAAACAAATTTTCCAATAAACATTTTCAGAACAAAAAAGCTCTTGATGTACAATCTTGTTCTGGTCGAGGCAACTTTTGTAAGCTAAATAAGATGGATTTTAAGGCAGATTGCAGTAAGGATCGTAGTATATTGTTGATAAAACCCTTTTTTCATGCTTAGCAGTTTCTAAAATATTGTTGGTTACAACTTTGTTCAGGTATTCAATTTAAATGTATAGTTCTTTTATCTTTTTTAAATTTATTTGTAAATATATTCCAAGGTAAAGTTAGAAGAACTACTCTTCATTTACTAAATAAACCTGCTAAAAATCTTTGTTCTACTTTTCTATATAAGATTAACACCTGTTACAGAAGACTGTCATATTACAAAAAACTTAGTTTCATAGTAGAGACATTAAAGATTTGGCCGGCTCATTTTTTGACACTGTAGAGAAAATTTTAATAATAGCCATGTTCCTTGGTAGAACTGGAGTTATTATTTGAAGCGATTAAATAAAATCTGGTCAATTTTGATTCCAACCCCTAAAATTACCCTTTTTAATATGTTGTGACAGTTATCCTGACTAGTAAGTCAATTTCAGTCTTGCACTGACGCGCGCACTTTTTCTTGCTCAAGCTACGGCGATCTGCTACTATGTCAGAATGATGTGCAACAAAGTCAAAACAAATAATATTAGGAATTATATTTTTTATTTTACACTGGGTTACGTCGCCATAGTTCTTGTTGTGACACTTTTCCTGATTGACATTTATTTGATCTCAAAACTTAATGATACAATTTAATCTGCTTATACAAATAAAAAATGATATAAGAAGTCTATAATAATGGATACGGTTCATATCACTCATTTTATATCATAACGTCTTCAATAAATTTTGGTGGGATTACTAAAAAAAAAATGGTTAGAGTCATTAAAAACAAGTTAACATAATATTTAATTTGTAAATACTGTAAGAGGGCAATAATACAAAGAACACAATGTGACCAAAGCAAAAACAATATTTTAATAACAAAAATAACTGAAAATAGTACAAGGCAACACAAAATGTTTGAATACCAAAAGTAACTGAACATGGCAAATCAAAACAACTCAAAATACAGTAACTGAAAATGGCACAACAAAACAAAGTATTTGAGTTTCAAAAAATAACTGAAAAGGGCCAAACAAAAAGTTCATAGGACAATTTGAACTACTTCACTCAGCAAATAGACTTCTGTAGTAATGTGCGTGGCTTTTTGGAATCTGGTTTGCGTTTATAAGGTCCATTATGTTGCTTTTCTTGTTTGCAGGTATCTCTATTTTTCGTTCATATGCGGGAGTGAGCTGAACAGTCTCGAGAATGTTTTTAATTTTCTTCTTTTCTTGGATGTCCTTACTTGCTCTTGTCTTCTTGGTAGATGCAACGTCGACTTTATGTGGGATTGCACAATCGTAGGTAGTTTGCACGTAAAAGCATAATGGGATATCCTTTTCTTAGTTACAAATTTTGTATTGTGAAGTTTGGAGCTATTCGTCAGTTGTCGTTGTATCAAAGTTTGAACCCAGTTGAGTCTGTAATTTCTTAATGTCAATAAAATCAGTCTGGGTCGTTTCAATTAACTCAAAAAAAGACTTATTAGGCTTTGCATTCTTGATTATGTCGGAATACGTGGCAGGGGTGTAGATCTAACTTTTTTTAGTATACTTTTTAACGGCTTTTTCGATAAGGAAATGTGCCGAATCCTCTTCATTTTGTGTGTGGCCGCATATTAAGAATTTGTGATTGATTGTTTTTATGTTAGGCAGTTTCTGCATAGCGTACAAAAACATTGCACTTGTATATTTATTTTGGCCAGTGCAATTAATGGAGTAAAATGTTACTTTAATATTATCCGTTATTTGTTAACAATCGAACTGCCAAAGTCAATAATTAAAACAGTCACAAAATAAAATACGACACTTTGATAATAAGAGATTTCATCAAATACCGATTATATATTCAAAAACACTGTCATATCACATAATAGGCCACTCTTGCGTATTGAAATTTCGCTGTCATGAAAGATATGTGTCACAACATTAGGTTATGACTGTTTATATTACTTACCTCGATCAGGAAGAGTGTCATATTTTGTATTGGGACAGTTTCGCGGCATGCTGGCGCGTGTTCACTGCTCGATGGTCAGTCACATACTAACTTAAGACACTCTTCCCGGGCAAGATGGTCGCAGAAATGGCAAAATCCACAGTCACATCAGCGCGTAGCGAGGAAACTATGCTAGTTAGAAATATGTCAGTTTTACTGATTGGTAGATCTCAATGAGAACAGTAATAATACCCTAAAAATTTTGTGTTATGACACTTTTCTGTAACGGTTACGATACATTAACATATATCGCGATCTTTGAGTCGTTGATCTACACGAAGCCGATCAGAATTCCTGTTCCAAAGACTGCCTTATTTGTCCAGTAGCAAATTGCTTTAGGAAGCCTAAGTCAAGCGGGATACTTGCCTAGTTTTTACGAAAAAAACTGTTAAGAGGAAATCGCACCTCTCGCGAAAGAAAAATTGTTTTAGGGATTTTCTATTGTAAAATTGTATTTATATGCGTGCCATGGGAATACTTCCTGATATTATGTGTCTTGACAATATTAAGAGCTTTAAATTTGTGCAACGATAAGGCAGCACTCTACAGAGACATTTAAGAAAAAAAGGTGGGAAAGCATTCCATTTAAAAACTACTAGATATTTATTAAAAAAAAGCAGTAATCTTTTAAGATTTAATACAGAATGGGGTGTAAATGTTTTTTTTTTAAATTCTTTTTAAATTTTTCAAAAGAAATACTTTTCGAAAGTTTACAAAAAAATCAAGGTTTCTTCACCCTAAGTTTTCTTATTAGTATTTCCTGAAAATTTCACAAAAATCGGACCAAAAATAAAGGCTCAGAATGAATTATAAATTTTAGAGGTGTCCGGTTTGCTCTTAATAACTAATACAAATTTTCATTTTCTTTATTTAGGGTAATGTAAATGACCACGATGTGGCTTTAATGCCAGTACCATCGAGTTTTAATGACATCCCAACGAGTTTGGGTGCAAGAGACCATCTTGGAGCAGTCCTTTATGAAAGAACGTTCTTGGTACCAAATAGCTGGAAATCTGATAAAAAAATTTGGATAAGATTCGGATCAGTTTGTTATTCCGCAGAAGTCGTAAGTAAATAATTTAATTCATTGAATAAACAAAAGTTTAGAAAGTAACATTTTTGAATGTTTTATTTTGTTCTTAGTACATCAATGGTAAATTAGCTGTGTCTCATCAAATTGGGCACTTGCCATTTGCAGCTGAAATTACATCCCTATTAACAGATGATGAAAATACAGTTCGTGTCATAGTTGACACCACATTAACTAGTACAAGTATTCCTCAAGGATCCATCTCTACTCTTCCAGGGTAACTAATTCTATAATATTTGTTAATGTTGAAATGCCTTTTCCGAGAAAAATTCTAATAATATCCCTTTTTTATAAATAACCTTGCTTTTTTCCCTTACACTGTAGTAACTAATTACTTCAATGTACAAGTGAGTCAAAATAAACTGTGTTATATCTAACAAAAACTGTACTTTAGTGGAAGAAAGAAGCTGGACTACACATTTGATTTCTTCAATTATGGAGGAATTGATAGACCCGTGTTTCTGTATACCACTCCACAAACATACATTGATGATATTCATATAACAACTACTGTAGAAGGCAATACAGGTATAAACAGTGTGTTGATTAAAACAATTATATTTAATGCATTATTTGATTTGCATTTCAGGTACTGTTGCCTACTGGGTAGATGTAGCGGGATCTCTCCCAACAATTACTTACAAAGTAGAAGTTATAGATAAAAATAAGAAAGTGGTAGCTACAAATAACGGTGCTAACGGAGAAATAAAAATTGCTAACGCTAATCTTTGGTGGCCATATTTAATGGACGATAACCCAGGATATTTGTATACATTAAGGGTGTGAAAACATATTTGTATTAAGTTTATTTTGACTAATACAAAATTTACTTGCAGGTTCAGCTGGTAAGCGCCACTAATAACATAATAGACTCTTACTCGCATCCATTTGGAATACGGCAAATAGGATGGGACAGCACAAGTGTTACCATCAATGGAAGGCCCATTTACATTAGAGGCTTTGGAAGACATGAAGATTCTGATATTCGAGGTAAAGGATTGGACCTTCCTCTGATTATCCGAGATCACAATTTGATCAAATGGATTGGTGCTAATGCTTACAGAACTTCGCATTATCCATACGCTGAAGAAATTATGGATCTGGCTGATAGATTGGGGATAATGATTCTTGATGAAGTACCAGCTGTAAATACCGAGTAAGAGATTATTTACCTCTTGTTTTATTAACGAGAATATTAGAGAGAATAGAGAATAGTTACTGTATTTTTTTAGGAATTACAATAACGATTTATTGGAAAATCATAAACGGTCTTTGACAGAACTTTATAAAAGGGACAAGAATCGCCCGAGCGTTGTTATTTGGTCTATCGCCAACGAACCCAGAACTCAGCTGGCAGAATCAGAAGATTATTACAGGTAAGATAATTCACAAATCTGTTAAATAAGGACAAATAATTTGCGTACCAATATCAACTTATTGTTTAAATTATTTTGTAAATGCAGTATATGTTTTAAAGGCATGTCTCAGCTCATATCAAATCTTTCGACCAAACTAGGCCGATAACAATTGCTAATTGTTACGGATATGATGTCGATCATTCTGTAAGTAAATTTGTGTCTTGCGATAAGGGATCAACTACATTAGAGCTAATTTTCCAGGGTCAATTTTTGGACATCTTGGGGGTTAATAAATACGCTTCTTGGTATGAGTATCCCGGAGAATTGGACACCATCGTTCCCAAAGTGGTTGAACAATGTGAAGGATGGCACAAGAAATATAACAAGCCAGTTTTAGTTACGGAATATGGAGCAGACACCTTGGAAGGATACCATGTGGTAAGAATTAATATCTGGTTTGCATTGTATATTTCAAAGAGCATATGAGTATGTAATTAAAATGTGACTTGTTGTTGTTGTTAGTTGCCTACATACGTTTGGTCGGAGGAATTCCAAGTCAAAATGATGGCACAGCATTTTAAAGCATTTGATCAATTAAGAGCACAAGGGTGGTTCATTGGAGAAATGATATGGAACTTTGCTGATTTCAAAACAGGAAATGGTAATAGATCAAAACTACATATTTGTTAATTTTCATTAATGAATAGTTTTAATTCTGTATAGATATAACAGACAAACGTGGATTCTGATGTTTTTTTAGATGTAAGGAGAGTTGGTGGAAACAAAAAAGGAATGTTCACAAGAGAACGCCAGCCGAAAGATAGTGCCCACTTTTTGAGAAAACGCTACTGGAATTTGGCTCGTAAACTCAACAATGTCAAGTTACCTACTGATTTAGAAGAATACGTGTTGAGTTAAATATTAAAAATGTAACAATAAATTATTGTTTAAAATTGGTTGTATTTGCAAACTTCGCTATAAATCTTAATTATCATTATCTTATCACATCAGCGATTAAAAACTGAAAAGTATGTACGTACCTAGATTATTGATAATTTACCTACATACTTTTACATAATATATACATTTATCGTATTAACTGAAAGGCAACGACAATAACTCAATTAGCACAAATAGGCAGGTCCATTGAAATTTTTAAATTTTTCGATTTTTTAATTATTCAATTTATTTTTTAAATTTTCAAATTTTTAAAATGTTTTTTTAAGGGTTTAAATTTTATAAAAAATTTTAATTTTTTTAAATTATTTAAATTTTTAAAAAATTTTAATGAGGGGGTGACTTATGGGAAGATTATTATTATTAACTAAGAGAGAACGCAAAGTAGTATTTATAAATAATTTAAAAACTAAAAAGAAAAAACAATGTATTTAAAACATAATCTACAAATAAAAATAGTTATATATAAATGATCACAGAGAAGTGATTTGTAAAAGTTCTCCATTATCCATCCCCAAATGAAAGATATTTTCCTTCCACAAATCCATATTGGGTCTTTCCAAATCAGAGCAGTTCACATAATGATTTTCCTTACCTACTCTTTCCATAACTCTTTTCTGGATAATGTGCAGTTCATCTGCGTTGTCACATATTATATTAGCTAACGTGGTTTTTCGTAGTTCCATTAACTGTTCTGGAGAAAACGATTGTGGTTTTTGCGGATTTTCATACCAAAATCTGTCTCCATGTTTGATTCTATAAAACTGATCCAGAAGCAGACAAGTTATGGTGGGCCCCAGGATACTACCTTCTATTGGTTTCTCACTCAATGCTCCAGTGTATAAGTCTATATCATCTACATTTCTACAAAAAAAAAAAAAATAGTATTGTTTATAAGCAGATGCAAGAAATGCTTCAGATTTAATAGTATAGTCCCATACAGAACACATTATTTCAGAAGTGTTTCATTTCAAGCACAAGCTTCTGAAATATTTCTGAAATAATTTAGTTTCACTGAAAATGTTTCTAAAACATGGTATACATGTTACACAAAAGGTTACTGAACGGGTTATGTTGTAAAAGGCCAACACAATGAAGAATTTCTGATTTGAAGATCAAGATGGGATATGCATTTATTTTTGTCCAGCCAGAGACAACCCTATATTCAAAATAATTATACATTTGAATTGTCGGTTTTTGTCATTTCCTTTGTTTTTGTTATTTACGCGTTGTGCTGTTGTTATATGTTATATGGGAAGCAGAATGCAGAATAGACAGAATATGTCTTTAGAAATTGAGGCGAGTATTACAATGCTTGTTTAAGTTAGGTTTATTAACTTTATTTCTTCTCTGAGACGAGTGACGCCATTTTTTTATCAAATTTATAGGCATTTTATATTCTTATTTCTATTTAAATATAACGTATATTTGCTGTCCCTCCACCAGTTTTATTTATTAGTTCTACAGCTAATTGAAAAATGGAGCTTCATGTTTTGTGTAGGCATTAGTATTGTTTTATTATAGCTAATTTAAAACAATAGACCTTTTTAATTACCTATAATATGTTTCAGATTAGTGCATTTAATGGAATTGGTGAAAATGAAGCGAATCGCCAGCTTAACATCGAAGTAATTCAACCTTTCCAAGTATTAAGGAACATCGTCGATGCACCCTGATACTGCAACAATACTGATCTTCATAGGAACCTTAAAGTGGAGACCGTTGAAAATACAATACAAACATTTACCAGTAGTCACCAACAACGACTGCTCCAACATGGAAAGCTTGAGAATATCCAGCTCCTCAACAATGCCAATCTAATAAAAAGACTCAAGAGAACCAAGCCTTTTGAGTAAGTTCAGTGATGTTAAAGCAGAGTATAATGCGGTTATATGTTAACGGTAGTGTAACTAAATAATTAGACTCTAAGGTATACTAGTGAGTATAATATTAGTTTATGAAGTTTTTCATCCCCTTGATAACTTAGATTAGAATAAAATTGCTAATTGATCTTACTGATCAGATTGTAATAATCGTAAAGGTTTCTTTACTTGGGGCATTTATTAAAAAAATATATTTGTAATTTTTATTTCACCACTCTTATTAATGATGAGTAGCTAAAATTTCAATTTTCAAGTTCCAACATTAAAAAAATCGATACTTCCCATAGCTACAAACTTTCACACCCCCGTTTTCCCCCCTGAACATGTAAAATTCTAAAAATCCTGAAATAGGTCAAAAAAAGTTCCTACCTTTAAAAAATTCGATACTCCCATACAAACTTTCACCTCGCTTAAAATGTGATCTGTATAAAATCCGTTCTTAATGGGTACCTACGTCGAGAAAGGAATAACTATGCCAAATTTCAAGTCAATCGGGCTTATAGTTTTTAAGGTCTCGTGATGAGTCAATCAGTGGTATTTCGCTTATATAGATAAAGTCAATCTAGCTTTTCAGTTTAAAGAAAAAATAATTAAAATTAACAATTATCTACCTCGAAATTTGTTCATAACTCTTGAAACGGTGTAAAAATTATTACATACTGACAAAATGGTTACATTTAACCGGGGAACTACAGTACCTTCCAAAAATAAATCACCTTGTATATTTTAAAGCTTAGAGGTACACATATTTCAATGGTATTACTTTTACCAAAAATCAATTCATATGTACATGGTTTTGAATTAATAATAATTTTATGTTGCAGTTCCTCTATAAAACACCCTGTATAAGAATTCTATACTGTGCAATATTTTGTCGCCAAAATATCATATTGAGCAGTACTTTTTTAAAAAAATTCTCCTTGACGTCATTGTAGAAATTATGAGATTTTGCAAAAAACTACCGTCATACATTTGTGAATCATCCTGTAATAAAAACTATTTTTAATTGTACGTATAGGTATTATAACATGTAGTAAACGTGTGTATGCAACAGAAATTAAATCTAGCTCGTAAGTTTGAAAATAAAAATTTTCAATTTTAATACCCCGTATATCGAAAACTAGTCATTGGATTGAGTTGGGCCGATTGAGACTTTTAGATACTAGGTTGAGTACAAAAAAATAACAGTTTCAGAAAATTTGACCGGTCGCCACTTAAATAAGGAACGTGTAGGGTCCTTTGGTAGAGACTGACAAACAATATTTGTCAACCATTAGTTTAATTATTATTGACAGATGCGAATTCGCTATTTGTTTTCAATGGCTACTGTTTAAATCGTAACGATTGCGAAACATTTTTATATTTTGCTTATAATTTTTTAACGGAAGAAGATAGCAAATGTTTTAACAAAATTTATCTTTTTAAATATGCAATATAGGCATGTATCCGGAAAAAAGATTCGACGACGTCATTAACTTAGTTTCCAAATCAGGAAAAATTCTGTTTTAAACGGACCTTGCCGTTTTTCAACTCAACTCGCGTTTTTTAACTTAACCCACACCCATTCGTTGATATTTTTTACTTACCGATAGATGGCTTTTATGTTGCTCAATGAATTTGAATCCATAAATTCTTTAAGATCGTCAAATTCTTGTGGTTTTTCCAAACCACAATGTTGTCTCCATTTAGTATAACCTGGTAAACCATGATCTCTACCCCTCTGTACATTTAGCGATACAAGATCCAGTCCGCATAATTTTGGTTGTTTTATTTGTTCTGCAGATTGTTCAAACATGTGTGATTTAAGCTAAAATCAAATATATGTTAAAAATAAATTACTATTCTTGTATCTATTTGTGTACGGTTGTTTTAGGGCGGGAAAATCCACAATGACGCGACTATTTAGGGACTATTTATGAATATATATTTCTAGAACAGCTGCAAGGTGTCACTGTGTATTCTACTTAAGCTGTTATTTTATGGTTATTTTGAATGTCTATTTTGCTTTTTCTAAACAACTCATTAAAGACAATGGTTGACGATCTAAAAAGAAATTGGTTTGATAAACGGAAAAGAAAATGAAGGAGAAACGATTGTATCATATTTGTTTTAATAAAACGGTGACCAGATTTTACCAATAAAATCCAATATAGAAAAAATCGGTAGTTTTGTACCGTCAATTTCCATCGATATAGAAACTGTAAAAAAACAGGGAACGCACTTACATTTTAACAATTTAAAATCAAAACCGTCAAACGAAAAACCCTTTTTCGATACTCCTCTTGATCCCCACCCGAACTCGCTTCGCGTCCGCCCGGTGATCTTCGCCACGTTCACCGTTATTGGGGTCTATTCTGTAACAATTCCTTTATATTTAACGGCCTTTAAAAATATTTTCTTCTTTACTTCTGTCATTATTTAAACGGATCTTTAAAATACATTAGAGAACTATCTTAAAGAAATCTGTTTAAATAACGAATACGAACATATTTTTATAGGCCGCCAATATTTTTAAAGGCCATTAAATATAAAGGAATTGTTACAGAATAGACCCCATTGAACGATAATGATTGGTGCTTTTAAAATGGCCAAGGTATACAAACCAAAAGGACGCTTTTTATTATTTCAACTCAAGGGGACTTTTTTGATTAAATATAATTCCTTTCATCACCATTTTGAATTTTTAGAAACTTATTTAAGATGTTCTTTGACTTCTAAAATTCTCAGATATCAATTTTAGTCGAAATCTGCCAACTTTTAAAATAAACAATTTTTTTTCCTGTATATAACTGATCTGAAGTATAACTGATTTTGAACCATAAAGGAATCTTACTTGCATACAAACTTTAAAGTTTTTCTCTGAAGCCGTTTTTGAGCCATCGCGCCGACAGACATACTTCATAATCGAGGGACCCTGAAGCCCGAAAATCTGAAATAATCTCAGAAGGTGACTTTTCATGATTAGAATACTACCTTCTTATCGAGTGAACTAAAAATATATTTTACTTATTATATGTTTGTTAAAAGTAATTTAATTCTAATAATATCACAAGGTCTTTAAATCCAGTGAATATTGAAAGCAACAATATTTTAACTATATTAATTATTGACAAGAGGATTTATATTCAGTAAAAAATACATTACTATTTATTTACGACCTATTTTTTAAACCAATGTAAGAAGTTTTAAAGAAAGATCATTTATAAACATAAGGAATAACGGTGGCCCCAGGTTGGATCCTCGGGGAAAATCAGATATTGAATAATTACCTCGTTTGTAAAATAAGAATCGCTGGCCTCTATGCTCGTGTTCATTGCTCCCCTAAGGGTTTTGTCCAACGTTCCGGATACATAAAGCGCAAACGGATTGAACAGCATTTTATGCATTTGAACAAATTCAGGAGAAGATGTATCATTGGCCAGCATTTTCATCAATCCCGGTATAATGGAATGTGCGAATCTGAATGCAGCTGTGGCAAAACTGTTAGCTATATTTGGGTCTATGCTGGAGTTGTAATTTTTGAAGTAACCTTCTTTCAGTGGAAGCAAGCCAAATCGTTCCATTAAACGCTCACCTGTAACGATCAATAATTTTAATAGTACCTACTGTTTTGTAAGCAAAAGGAAAATAATTACCTACCGAACAGAATAGGCAGAAATTCATTATAAGTAATATGCTGCATTTGAGCTGCTATTACCCTCCTCGTTTCCTGAAAAACTCTTTCATCGTTCCAATGTGGATTAAGTTTAGATAAACTCGATGCAATATCATTATGTTGACGCACCCACAGCAAATGCATACTAATCAAATTTAGATTTTCGTTAGCTCTTGCATCACCTAAAAATAAAATACTCTACCATAACAAACAAAATTCAGTTCTTACTGATTACTACCTGCCAAGAAACAGTATCTTCCATTTCCTTCCTCTTCTTCACGATTACAACCATCATCCAAATCCTCAGAAATCGGAAGCAGGGTGCGTCCTTCTGAAGTGACAAGAACTTTCATACCACCATTTTCTAAAGTTCGTAACGTCTTCGCAAAGCTCTCATCAACGCTGTATACAGCAGAGCCATCTATGAAAGGTGTCACTTGATTCATTTGTTCTCTTGGTCCAAGGCAGCATGTAGGAGCTGGTGCTGATCTGACAAATTCGATACAACTGACGTTATACTCCATAAACGGATCTTCTTCATCAAGATGTACTGGGAAACATTCTGGGGATGAGACAGCAGACTGGTCACAACAAGATATTGTACTTCCGTTTGATTTTTGACTCAAAGCAGTCGCTGTAATGTCGTGGTCCAGAAATTGACCCCATACGGCCAACATTACAGTAAATTTTGGATCATCTCTATAGTATGATCTATGTACAATTAGGCTTACTGTTCTGGCTGATGGTAAAGCATCTCCATTCTCAGATGATCTTGGTTTACTTATTCCTGCAATAGAGGAATCTATAATAATAATAATAAATACTTGGATCGTTTTGAGGTAATATTAGCACTCTCATCGTTTGGTAAATCAAAATAGAGGCGAGCAATTCCAATATTATTAAAATAAAATAAAAACAAACTTCAAAGCCAGAGTGTCACATAATAATAAGAGCGTTTCTCCTCAGAAAAACAATTACTCCTTTGGCTAATACAGCAACAAGTATTGAATTATATCTAAAGGAAAACAGTAAATAGAAAATAATTTTCAACACTCTACCTTTAATTTTATTTACTAATTAGAACGTCATTATAGGACTGGTTTGTCTATGGCTTGCTGATGAGTCATAATAAGGATGAAACTGGTCCAAGAATGACGTTCTCTTTAGTAAACAAAATCAAAGATAGAGTATTGGAAATTATTTTCAATCTCTGAAATAAAAGACCAGCATAAAAAATTGTTTTAAACAAATATTCTATGACTCACTTTCAGCACGTTATAGAATTATTCAAAGTAAATTATATCTAATAATTGCCGCGTTTGAGAATCCACATCGGATGCATCTGAGATGTAGTAAATCTTTGATCACGTGATTTGGTATACGTAAATGTAATGGGACAGATGTGTCAGATGTGGATAAAAAAACGCTCGAGATGTAAAAAATGCATCCGATGTGAATTCTCAAACGCGGCAATCATCATACGGTCTTTGTTAGAAATATATCCAACATATTACACTAATTCATTAGGCTAGCTCGGTACTTGAGAGGCCAAACTAATTAAGAAGTTTTAAAGAGAGACCAATTAGAGAAATAAGGATAAACAGTAACCCCAGGTTGGAAACTTGGGGAAAACCAGATGTTGAATAATTAAAAAAATGTTTTAGAGGTCGACGAGTTTCTTTCATTTGCGACATACTGTATATATCTATTTTAATAGAAACAAATTGATTAAAACCACGTAAGAAAGTATCAGACTGGTATCACAATGATAGTCGTATCTCAGGAAAATACCAAACAAATCCCAAAGAAAATCTCAAAGTAGAGTATAATAAAAAGATTTTACTTCCAGGCTAAAGTATGTTACACGATAAGGCCGGTGACCCAAAAACTTTAAGACCATAAACATTGCAATCAATAACTACTACTCCTGAATCTTAGATTGTTGATAAGTGGCTTATTACACGCGATCCAACTTTTAAATCTATGTTAAATTATAAATTTAACGTTGTAGAGAACTGTAATTTTTCTATAAAAAAAAAATCATGTAAAATCCAAGCCATGCAGAAGGTTTAAAATTACTTGGGGTCAGAGAACTATGAGTAGATACCCCAAAGTGTAAGTAATAATTTTTATATTAGATTTTTGTAATAAGCAAACAATATTAAACAGTGTAGTACATACTCGTCCTAAGTTTACTAGTTTTGTAATAAAAGATTACAGCTATAAATTATTTTACTATTGACATCTCACCTTTAGAAACATTCTAATAATGTTCTGTCTTGTAAATAAATAGTCTTTAAAAGCAATTACTTATAATATTCTTTATTGAAGATAGAGTTGGTTCAATAATCAATTATCCTTTTGAATAGGTGATTAAAAATACATTAGAGGTAAATAGTTTTTCTAAGAATTTTTCAAACTTCATCCTCGCCCTTTCTAATACGTATTGAGTAGGTAAGTGCAATTATTTTAATGTATCTACTATAAGTTATAACAGATTTGATCAATGTGGTTTACCCTGGATTTTAACTAATAAAAAAATTACAAATGATTAATGCCTTCTAAGAAACTTCTCTAGTTCTAGTGTATAAGCAGTGGTTGATTAGAGTACGTATACAGAGTGGCCCAAAAGTCTGGAAACGGCCAATTATCTCGTAAATTGCTAGTCCTAATTGTATAAAATTTGGGGTACACCTATTTTGGGATACGGAGATTCCAGATTTGATATTTGCAATGTTGCCAGATTTGCCGTTTATCTTATATAATTAGTCACTTTGGTTTTTCAAATTCATTACCCTGTATATTCAGTCATTATTGGAAATCTCCTATTTAATACGAGTTCAACCATATGTAACACTTATGATTTTATGTAGTTTGGAAGGTCTTAAATAAATAAAACAGAAGTCTGGCAACGCCTAATTGTCTCAATAAATTTTTTAATACAAACTATTTTCAACTACATTAAACGTAACAATTGAAAGATTAAGACATTTTTAACATAATGGTTACTTTATCAAGTGTTTAAAATGTGCTCCATTTGTGAGTTGAAAGTACCCTAATCGATGGTAGAATGCGTCTACCACATTCCTCCATGATTGTTTTGTTTATTTAAGACCTTCCAGACTACATAAAATCATAAGTGTATAGTTGAACTCGTATTAAATGGGAGATTCCAATAATGACTGAATATACAGGGTGATTAATTTGAAAAACCAAAGTGACTAATAATATAAGAGAAATGGCAAATCTGTCAACATTGCAAATATCAAATCTGGAATCTCCGTATCCCAAAATAGGTGTACCCCAAATGTTGTACAATTAGGACTATTACTTTACGAGATAATTGACCGTTTCCAGACTTTTGGGCCACTCCGTATAATATTTCGTATATTTAGGTGTGTTAAACTTGTAGTTATGAGTCAAGCAAAAATAAAACACTTAACTCCAGAGCAACGGTAATTTATACTTGACGTCGAAAACTATTTTAATCTAGAGAAAACAAATTGTGGACCCTTATTCCCACTTACAACGATACAAGATCGAACCATTGATCAAGTGCGTCATCGATTACTTATTAGAATTTGGCGCCAGAGAAAAAGCGCTAAAAAAATTTAGCGCACTTTTTCAATAGAAAAACGGTAAAAAATTTAGCGCGAGAAAATAGGGGATTACTATGCTTGAATGCACAAAAGGGTGTATATAAATGGGGCGTTCCTCTCAGATCATCAGTTTATTTTTGTGCTTAGTTCGAGATGTTTCGTTTACTACCAGTTATTGTTGCTTCCTGTTTTGAGTTAGTACCGCTTCCTATGGAGATGTGGTCCAATGTTCTTCGGTAAGTATCTTACTTAATTTCGAAATACAATTTTTGTTATTAGCTAACTTTTCAGTGTATTAATATTTAAATTATTTTTCAGATTGTTAAATCCTATGACATTACTGTCTACTGTTAGAGCTTCACCAAAGTGGAAGAATGTCTGTTTAGGAGATCGTATTTTAAAGAAAAAACTTAAATCTGCTTCGAAAATTGAAGTAAAACTTGCTAAAGAATCGATTTGTAATCCAGGAAAGTTTGTTTCTGTATCCAGAACAGAACCAAAGATAATGTTTGGGATGAATGTAGCAAAGAAAATTTCGAGAAAACCAAATCCCATTGCTTCGGATCCAATTCAGATAATTTTAACGGAGAATTTGAAACACAGACGTGAAAATCGTGTTGTAAAAACTACTAAGAAATTTGTGTCTTGTAGAATATAAAATTTTATTTAAAATAAATCGATGTAGGATTAAATTATGAAAAAAAAATTATAAAAATATTTTTAGTTGACGAATTATAATTTTATAAAATTTTCAATATAATTATATTTTTAATAACTATTATAAATAAATAAATTAGATTTTGTTATTGTCACAAATTCTTTCATACTGCTTCTTATGGTTATACATTCTTTTTTCAATTATTATCAAAATATATTAATAAACACATTGTCAAATGTAGTTAAATATAATTAACACATTTTCTTGTATTTTATATCGTAAATATTTTTTCCTAACTCTGTGCATTTTTTTTATTAAAATATGTTAATGTTAAAAATACTAAGAAATTTGTGTCTTGTAAAATATAAAATTTATTTAAAATAAAATAAAAATATTTTTTGTTGACAAAATTAAAAAAAAATGTTTATTTTTTCATTAAATTTTTAATATAATTATATTTTTAATACCTTATAAATAAACAAAATACATTATCACAAATATTTTCATACTAATTATACATAATTATTCATACATACATACACATTTTTGTTATTTATTAAAATATATTAATGGACGAAAATAAATCAAAACTCAAATGTGGATAGACGTAAATGAAATAAAATGAATTTAGCTCAAAGCCAATACAAAATACAACAACCGTCTCCCCATCAAAAAACAACTACTCCTTTGGATAATACCGCAACAGGCATTGAATTACATCCGAAGGAAAGACAGCAGAGATAGAAATTAATTGTCAACACTCTCTACTTTGATTTTGCTTACCAAGGAGAACATCATTCTTGGACCGGTTTCGTCCTTATTAGGACTCCTCAGCAAGAAATAGATAGGTTCTCAATTCCAGTCTCTAATGGAATTAACAAATGCTACACATTTCACCAACTTTATGGTATACTGGTGAAATGTGTAACATTAATGTTAATAATGTCCATGTAGTCACAATTAATTAATTTAAAAAAAAATTGGGTTTGTTGTTTTTTTATAAACCTTGTGTCAACTTTTGTATAATGTTCGCGTTTTTAGTTTATTCTGAAAGTTTTTGTAAATTTTTGTTATTTTCAATGTTATTTTATTATACAACTATTGTTTGATAATTATTTTTCCTTTGTCATTTTTATATAACTATATTTTTTAACGCTTTATTGCACTAACCATTATTTTTTTTATACATATCTTGTAACATGACTGTTGTGGTTGAGTGGGATTAGCTTCAGCTAGACTTCATCAGAGGTGGCGTGTGTAATTTATAATTATTGTTTCTTTTGAAATAAAGTCGTTTATTTTTCTTATTATTATTATGTAATAAAATCATAAAACTCTTATACATAATAAAAAAAAAATAATGAGATCATAAAGTATAAAATGTAATGCACTAAATAATAATAAAAAAGAAACAACAAAGCATACACAAGATCAGAAATCTTTTGTCTTTGAAAAATAAATGTTTTGCTACGAAGCCTAATTCCACAGAAGATCTTCGCCAACGGATAATAGCTATAACTATTATTTCATAATTTTTTTACTTACTATTCTCATTTTTATTTAACTATTTTTTTATTGAACTAACCATTATTTGGTTGTACATATCTTTTGACAGGGCTGTTGTGGTTGAACGGGATTGGCTTCAGCTAGAATTCGCCATAGGTGCCATGTGTAGTTTATAATTGATTATTTTGAAATAAAGTCGTTTATTCTTATTATCATTAAATAAATTGAAAACAAAATCATAAAATTCTCATATAATGAAAAAATAAAATAAGATCATAAAGTATAAAATGTAATGTACTACATAATAATAAAAAAACAAAGCGGACACAAGATCAGAAATCTTTTTTCTTTGCTTTCCGCAATAAATTAAAACTTCTGGTTTTTATTAACACCGTTTGATAGATTGTTCTAAAATCTAAATAATCTTCCGATATGGACCGTAATTGGTTATATTATTAATTAAAATAATTAATGTTTAATTTTTTTTTTACTTTTTATGCGATATCCGAGATTCTTTCACACTTTTTCGTGTATATAATGTTGACAATGTCAAATATGTAAATACACGATTTCCTTGTATTTTCTCTACTAAATATACAAATTTTTAACCCGTTTTTCTACAAAAATTTATAAAGTTTTCTGTGTCATCGATTATTGTTTAAAATTTGGCGCCCTTTTTCTTAAGAAGCGCTTAAAAAGTTCAGCGCCATTTTTCTAGAGAAGTAGCGCGAAAACATAGGGGGTTATTACGCTTGAATTAACAAAAGAGTGTATATAAACGGGGTGATTGTCCCAAATCGTCAGTTTATTTTTGTGCTTAGTTCAAGATGTTTCGTTTACTACCAGTTATTGTTGCTTCCTGTTTCGAGTTAGTACCGCTTCCTATGGAGATGTGGTCCAACGTTCTTCGGTAAGTATTTAACTTAATTTTAAAATACAATATTTATTAGGTATCAACTAACTCTTCATTGTATTAATATTTAAATTATTTTTCAGATTGTTAGATCCTATGACATTACTGTCTACTGTTAGAGCTTCACCAAAGTGGAAGGATGTCTGTTTAGGAGACCGTATTTTAAAGAAGAAACTCAAATCTGCTTCGAACATTGAAGTAAAACTTGCTAAAGAGTCGATTTGTAATCCAGGAAAGTTTGTTTCTGTATCCAGAATAGAACCGAAGATAATGTTCGGGATGAATGTAGCAAAGAAAATTTCGAGAAAACCAAATCCCATTACTTCGGATCCAATTCAGATAATTTTGAAGGATAATTTGAAACACAGACGTGAAAATCGTGCTGTAAAAAATACTAAGAAATTTGTGTCTTGTAGAATATAAAATTTTATTTAAAATAAATCGATGTAGGATTAAATTATGAAAATCATAAAAATATTTTTAGTTGACGAATTATAAAAAATGTTTGTTTTATTAAATTTTCAATATAATTATATTTTTAATAACTATTAAAAATAAATAAAATAAATGTTCTTATGGTCACAAATTCTTTCATACTGCTTCTTATGGGTATACATTTTTTTTTTAAATATTATCAAAATAAACACATTGTCAAATGTAGTTAAATATAATTAACACATTTTCTTGTATTTTTTTATATCGTAAATATTTTTTCCTAACTGTGCATTTTATTAAAATATATTAATGTTAAAAATACTAAGAAATTTGTGTCTTGTAAAATATAAAATTTTATTTAAAATAAAATAAAAATATTTTTTGGTGAAAAAATTAAAAAAAAAAAAAAATGGTTATTTTTTCATTAAATTTTTAATATAATTATATTTTTAACACCTTATAAATAAACAAAATACATTATCACAAATATTTTCATACTAATTAAGTATGTAAATACATTTTTTGCCCAATTAACATTGTTACATGTAGTTAAATATAAATAAATTTTCTTGAATTTTTTATTTTAATCGTGAATACTTTACACATTTTTGTTATTTATTAAAATATATTAATGTTAACAATATCTCATGTAGTCACAATTAGTTATTAATTCCAAAAAAATGTTTGTTATTTTTTATAAACCTTTTGTATTTTGCATAATTTTGCACAACAATCTTTACAGTTATTCTGAAAGTTTTTGTAATTTTTAATTTTCTTCAATTTTATTACTTTATTGTCTAACTATTGTTTCATAATTATTTTTACTATTCTCATTTTTATTTACCTATTTTTTTTTAATTTTTTTTATACCCATCTTGTGACAAGGCTGTTGTGTTTGAGCGGGATTGGCTTCAGCTAGATTTCACCAGAGGTGCCATGTATAATTTATAATTGTTTCTTTAGAAATAAAGTCGTTTATCATTATCATTATATAATAAATTAAAAACAAAATCATAAAATTCTCATACATAATGAGATCATAAAGTATAAAATGTAATGGTACTAAATAATAATAGTAAAAAAAAAAAAAACAACAAAGCGGACACAAGATTAGGAATCTTTTTTCTTTGCTTTAGGCAAAAAATTAAAACTCTACATTTTTATTAACACCGTTTGATAGATTGTTCTAAAATCTAAATAATCTTAATAATAATAATAAATGTCTTTATTTTCCTCTCAAGTTACATAACTATTTACAAATAGTAAAAAAGCAATCGTAACGAACCAAGAAAAGAAAAATGCCGAAGATCAGGTGAGGATGATTTCAATGAAATCATCACCTCTGTTTTTCACTTAGGCAATAGTAACAAGGACTAAAACTAAAATAAATTCTAATTACTAAAAAAAACATTTTCAAGAAATATTATTACAGAATTATTCATTAAAGGACATTATCAAGAAACATTATCGAAGGAAATTCAAAAAAAAAAAAGAAAAACAATAAAATAGAACATTATGAGAGAACATTATCAAGGAACATTATCAAGAAACATTGTCAGGGGACATTATCAAGGAACATAATCTCTGAACATTATCAAAGGCATTTTCCAAAAATCATCAAATAGTATTATCAAGAATACCTTAAATAATATTATCAAAAAAATAAACAGTAAAATTATCAACAATTAAAAACATTATGAAAGAATATTACCAAATAACGCACACTTTTTCGTGTATATAATGTTGACAATGTCAAATATACAAATATAAGATTTCCTTGTATTATCTCTACTAAATAAACAAATTTTTAACCCTTTCTTCTACAAACATTTTTAAAGTTTTCTATCATCGATTTATTGTTTAGAATTTGGCGCCCTTTTTCTAGAGAAGTAGCGCTAAAAAAGTTCAGCGCCAACATAGGGGATTATTACGCTTCAATGAACAAAAGAGTGTATATAAACGGGGTGTTCCTCCCAAATCGTCAGTTTATTTTCGTGCTTAGTTCAAGATGTTTCGTTTACTACCAGTTATTGTTGCTTCCTGTTTCGAGTTAGTACCGCTTCCTATGGAGATGTGGTCCAACGTTCTTCGGTAAGTATTTAACTTAATTTTAAAATACAATATTTATTAGGTATTAACTAACTCTTCATTATATTAATATTTAAATTATTTTTCAGATTGTTAGATCCTATGACATTACTGTCTGCTGTTAGATCTTCACCAAAGTGGAAGAATGTATGTCTAGGAGACCGTATTTTAAAGAAGAAACTTAAATCTGCTTCGAAAATTGAAGTAAAACTTGCTAAAGAATCGATTTCTAAACCAGGAAAGTTTGTTTCCGTATCCAGAACAGAACCGAAGATAATTTTCGGGATGAATGTGGCAAAGAAAATTTCTAGAAAACGAAATCCCATTGCTTCAGATCCAATTCAGATAATTTTGAAGGAAAATTTGAAACACAGACGTGAAAAGCGCGTTGTAAAAAATACTAAGAAATTTGTGTCTTGTAGAATATAATTTTTTTTTTAAATAAATCGTTATAATATTAAATTATAAAAAAATAAAAATATTTTTTGTTGGCAAATAAAAAAAAAATCTTTATTTTTTCTTTTAATTTTCAACATAATTATATTTTCAATAACTATTATAAATAAATTTTCTTATTGTCACAAATTCTTTCATACTGCTTCTTATGCATATACATTCTTTTTATAATTATTATCAAATGCAGTTAAATATAAATAACACATTTTTTTTAATCTTAAATACGTTTTCCTAATTTTGTGCATTTTTTTATTTATTAAAATATATCAATGTTAACAATGTCTCATGTAGTCACAATTAGTTATTAATTCTAAAAAAATTATTGGGTTTGTTGTTGTTTATAAACCTTCTGTCAACTTTTGTATAATGTTCGCTTCTTTACATTTATTCTCACAAAGTTTTTGTAATTTTTTATTTTCTTCAATTTTATTATTTTATTCTATAGCTATTGTTTGATAATTAATTTTATTCCTCTCATTTTTATTTAACTATTTTTTTATTGCTTTATTGAACCATAACCATTATTTTTTTATACATATTTTGTAACATAGTTGTTGTGGTTGAGTGGGATTAGCTTCAGCTAGACTTCGCCAGAGGTGGCATGTATAATTTATAATTGTTATTTTTTTTTAAAAAAAGCCGTTTATTCCTATTATTATATAATAAAATGAAAACAAAATCATAAAATTCTCATACGTTATGAAAAAAAAAAAAAAAAAAAATAATGAGATCATAAAGTATAAATGTAATGTACTAAACAATAATAAAAAAAACAACAAAGCGAAAACAAGATTAGAAATAGTTTGTCTTTGCTTTCTGAAAAAAAAAAAATTATAAATTTGCTGAAATTGTAAGATGCTTGCGTAAATATTTTACTATTGCTAGGATGTTATCCAGTACTCAGAATTTGTTGATGTTAAATTAGGTTAAGCATACTAACAACACCCTGTACATTCTACGTTTTTCTTAACACCGTTGTAAGATTGGTTTAAAATCTAAATGATCTTTTGTTAAGGTTAGTTTTTTTTATATTATTAATTAAAATAATTAATGTTAATTTATTTTTTTTTACTTTTATACGATGTCACAGATTCTTTTACACTTTTTCGTGTACATACTTTTTATTATTATTAAAATATAATAATGTTAACAATGTCAAATATATAAATACAATATTTCCTTGTATTTTTTCTTCTAAATATATAAATTTGTAACCTTTTCTTCTACCAGAATTTTCAGTTTTCTCTGTCATCGATTATTGTTTATAATTTGGCGCCCTTTTTCTAGAGAAGTTACGCTAAAAATAGTTCAGCGCCATTTTTCTAGAGAAATTGCGCAAAAACATAGGGGATTATTACGCTTGAATGAACAAAAGGGTGTATATAAACGGGGTATTCCTCCCAAATCGTCAGTTTGTTTTTGTGCTTAGTTCAAGATGTTTCGTTTACTACCAGTAATTGTTGCTTCCTGTTTTGAGTTAGTACCGCTTCCTATGGAGATGTGGTCCAACGTTCTTCGGTAAGTACCTAACTCAATTTTGAAATACGATATTTTTTAGGTATTAACTAACTCTTCATTGTATTAACATTTAAATTATTTTTCAGATTGTTAGATCCTATGACATTACTGTCTACGGTTAGAGCTTCACCAAAGTGGAAGAATGTCTGCCTAGGAGACCGTATTTTGAAGAAGAAACTTAAATCTGCTTCGAACATTGAAGTAAAACTTGCTAAAGAATCGATTTCTAATCCAGGAAAGTTTGTTTCCGTATCCAGAACAGAACCTAAGAAAATTTTCGGGATGAATGTGGCAAAGAAAATTTCTAGAAAACCAAATCCCATTGCTTCAGATCCAATTCAGATAATTTTGAAGGAAAATTTGAAACACAGACGTGAAAAGCGCGTTGTAAAAAATACTAAGAAATTTGTGTCTTGTAGAATATAATTTTTTTTTTTAAATAAATCGTTATAATATTAAATTATAAAAAAATAACAATATTTTTTGTTGGAAAATTAAAAAAAAATCTTTATTTTTTCTTTTAATTTTCAACATAATTATATTTTCAATAACTATTATAAATAAATTTTCTTATTGTCACAAATTCTTTCATACTGCTTCTTATGTATATACATTCTTTTTATAATTATTATCAAATGCAGTTAAATATAAATAACACATTTTTTTTAATCATAAATACTTTTTCCTAATTTTGTGCATTTTTTTATTTATTAAAATATATCAATGTTAACAATGTCTCATGTAGTCACAATTAGTTATTAATTCTAAAAAAATTATTGGGTTTGTTGTTGTTTATAAACCTTCTGTCAACTTTTGTATAATGTTCGCTTCTTTACATTTATTCTCACAAAGTTTTTGTAATTTTTTATTTTCTTCAATTTTATTATTTTATTCTATAGCTATTGTTTGATAATTAATTTTATTCC